TGTGTGTGTGTGTGTGTGTGTGTGTGTTCATGTATTAGTGAACTCTCTTTTCCCCCAGGCTGGTGTCATAGAAAACCAGAGTGAACGGTGGAAGAGAAAAGCCCTGTTTTTGACAGTACCTGTATGTATTGGTATGAGCATGTGTAATGAAGCATGTACATTACACTAAATGTTTTTCTTTTTAAAAAACCTGAACGCATCGTGTATCCTATTCTTATATGTATACATGTGTGAGCATGTGTGTTGAAACTGTCACACACACAAAAGGGATTGTATGCATGAGTAAGAGACTAAATAAATTACTCTTACAGGGTTAATGTTTGAGTGTGTGAGGCCCAAGAAACACCTGACACTTCGGTATATAAAAGCCAAAAGTATCTGGCAGCAGGAAGCAAAGAGAAGGATGATAATTTCTCAAGACCAGAAGGCAAAGCACAGCCAATCCAGTTCTGTCACTGCATAGCTGACTTGTTAATGCTTTTTGTAGCCACAGGGTAGTTACAGGACCGAAGTGTGGGATTTAGTGGCATCTAGTGTTTTGGTTGCAGACTGCAATCTACTAAATACCTCTTCCCTCACATAAACCTTTTTCCAAATCCACAGGAGAATCTATGGTAGCCTTCACCCACTGTAAAAATGGGCTGCACAATCCGGGCAACTGCAGAAACACACTGGGTTTAGTCATGTCCTGGACTGCAATCACCACTGACATGACTAATACTCATAAACCAGAGTTTGTGTGCGTGTCGTGTATGTACACCAACCAAGGTTGTGTAAGTATAAACAAGAAAACTCGTCCTACTTTCCTTACTTTCTTATATAACAAATTTAGCATCCAAACATATTGAAAACATATATAGTCTGCATTACTGTGTATCAAGTACATTCAGCTCTTATCATAAGTAGAACTGCCAAGACCAAGAGTGACAGGAAACAGTAGTGAAAAGACGCGGCACAACTGACATTCAAGCTATTCTAACCTGCTTGTCCTGAATCAGCTTTAAGCATTAACCAAATTAATCTTGCTGCATCAGACTGGATAATAGATTCCTTAAACACCACTGCCACCTACTGACAACTTTAAGATTTGCTAAAAATGTATCTATTTCCATGTTACCTACTATAGGTTGAATCAAGTACACTTTACATTAATACATGAGAGCCCAAGTTTGAGTTATAGAGGCTCTAGGTTTAGCTGATAGACTTAAAATCACAAATGATCTCTACAAGATCCAATGACAAACTGAAAGAGTGACAATTTGTCTCTTTACCCATTTTAATTTTGGCTTTAAATGTAAGTGTCTGTTTTTGAAATCGTTGTGCGTCTTACTGAGATCCTCGGCCAGCTGGACTCGGCGGCCAGTAATGAGCTGGGTCTTCCTCTCCATGTCTTCCCCGAAGTCATCCAGTACCTCCTTCACATTTTTCTCCAACCGGCGCACTGAGAGGACACACAAAGAATAACAATCAATATCCCAGCCATCAACAATACATTGGATATTTATCTCAGTGTTCTGACTGAATTATTTGATTAACACTTTACTCCATCATTATAATGGTGGAGAGAGGAATTGTCTATTCTCACAATGGGTGATTTTGAGCAGGTAGGACTGATTTCATTATTTCATTTTTATCGACCTGGATAACTGGTAAGATCTCCCTAACATCCGCTGGTGGCCACTAACTTCTGGTAGTTGGTAACCTAAATTGTGCAGAAGACTTTCGAACATGAAAGGGATATTCAACATCTTGTCCTATATCTAAATTAAAAATATTGCAAAGCTCAGACCATCAGTAAAGGTTGTCCCACTGCCTCAGTAATCTATATATGGGCCACTCTGTACTAAGCTTTATCAAATAACCTCGGTATTGAATCTTCTTCCTAAATTACTGAAGGTGCCACTGATGCAACTATTTACTCCACCAGAGCCAAGCTATATCTGAAAATATGAAGTATTCATTTGAGAGATAAACTGATAACATTTTAGAATGACAAAAACTACCAATAACAAACCACGAATCCAAAATGAGCGACAATTATTATTATATTTAAAGCAGAGGGTCTCATATTTAACCAAACAGTAATTGTCCTTAGTTTTTCCTTTTGTGTGCAAATAACAGAAATCTCCTTTTAGAACAACCATTCATCATAAATGTCCCTGATCCTTACCCTCAGTGTTGGTGAGCTGCTGTCGGAGAGTGTTGGCTGTGATGACGAGCATCCTCTGGATCCGCCAGAACAGAACAACATCATTGCACTCCAGCTAGAAAAACAAAAGTAAACAGCTCAATTTTTCATCCAATGACATTTGACACAGGTGAGAATAAAGTTGATAAGAAAGACAACTCAGGATGTCTTTTTTCTCTCCTTACCTCAGAGTCAACAAAGTGTCTCTGGTAGTAGTAAAAACCTCTCTTGCAGAGATTACAGTGAGACAAAGCCTTCTGCAAGAAGTGCCTGCGATAGAGCTGATGCCACGTGTCCTTGATCTGTCCAGGAAAATAAGTCATCATAACAGTGACATATTTGTCTTAATAAATGTACCAATCATGTTTTATTTAAAAGATCAGAGACAGGTATTATGTTCTCACCAGCACAGGGTCAACTTCGACCCCTCGTCCTTCGAGGTTCTTCCTCACTGTGGTGACCTCGTCATTGGCCAAGTATGCTGTGTGGTCTTCGTGCAGCTTCAACAAACGTTCCAGCTCATTTTTTGTTTCATTACGAATGTGCTAAAAAAAAGGTCAAAGAAGAGGAAGTGAGCGCTGTTGTTTAGAGAGAGGATTATTTATTGTAATGTGTGTAACAAAAGGTTCTGGGACTTTGACAGTTTAAAAATAGTGGTCTGCTCTATAACCAGAACTATACTTCAAGGGTCTTATAATTCTTCCATAAACAACAGCACTGCTATGTTGAGGAATGTGGGGAGACTCCACAATATCTGACCTGATCTGGTGAGCGATTCTTCCAGTTCAGCCACCTCTGCTTCCAGTCTGGACCCACCATGTCTCTGATTACTGAGTCAGCTACAAGGAGAGGACAAAGTAAAAAGATAATGAAAGACATTCAGTCTACCATCCATTGAAGAAGCTGAAGCTTTAAGTTTTTATCATAACATCATGGTTGCATCTTGAATTTCTATGGTCCAGAGCCTACAACAGTTGTCATAATGTGTATGTTTGTGATTTGTTTGTTTGTGAATGTTCGTGTCTAACGTACTGTCTTTGAGGCGTGACTGCAGAGTTTCTTCCATGAACTGGATCGCTGCATCCCACTGAGGCTTGTCTGTGATGGAACGATCTTCTAGGGCATTGTGCTGGATTACCCTCTGACAGATGTCAAGTGCAAAAATAAAATCACATTATCATTGAGATGTGCAACGTCATTTATTTTAAAGGAAAGGCATAATAAATCCAGAAGCAGATATGAAAGTTGTTAGCATGAATGCACCAATGTCAGCAAGACCACTTGCTGTATAATCTAGGGTACATGGTGACTAAATTGCCTTTAGGAAGAGTAGGCTATATAAATTTGTACAAATTCCCTCTGTATCCTTGTGCCTAGAGTAAGTGGATTTTCTGTGTGTTTACCAGGCTGTCCATGGCCCTCTCATTCCACTTGTGCCTTTTGATGCTCTCGTCCTTCACAGCCTCCTTCAGTTTGTCAAAAATGTCGTCCTGGTCTTTGCCTTTGTATTCAGCCATGAAGCGGGCAAACTCCTCCTGCAGGGTCTCCCAGGCAACCTGATGGGTAGAGAAGCGTTTTGGGGAAAGAAAAGAATCATAAGGCCATTGCCTGATTGAATATTACTTATCTGTAAAAAAAATGAAATTCTATATCATTAAAATACCACATCAAACAGTAATGACTCAGTTTTGATAGTAGCTGAAAAAAATAAATGCAAAAAAGAACTATCTCAGGCACAGATTCATATAAAATGATTTAATGTTATAATATTTTAGCATTCAGAATCATAATATGATACTAAGACAAACAGTTTGCTTTACCTCCAGAGCTTTGTGTGGAAGCTGTTTGTCAGTCCACTGCTTAAGCTTGATGTCTACTGTTGTATTAAAGGTACCAGAGTCCATTGTTTGGGCCGCAGGCAAATAGATGTTCTCAATTACATGGGTGGAAACACGTTCCCACAGTTTCTTCTGCAGGATGGCCTCCCTTCAGGGTTAAAAGATATTGCAATTTGTGATTTCCAAAGAAACAGGTTTTGTAAGTCACTTACAATTGGTTGTTCTAGTAAAATACTAAAGGGGATCCAGCCTTAACATAGACATGGTAACATTTTTTAAATATTTTGGTGATTCTTCATTTCACATCTTAGACGGATGTAACAAGCCAGAGTGCTCTGAACAAAGTTAAGCGTCCAGCTCAGTTCACTCAAATGACCCGGTGGGACTTGAAAACAATGAGTGAAGAGGAATCATCCTCCGCTCAGCTGCTTTCACTTGGATACTCAATGCTCCTGTGATTGCACATGACTGTAGGTCCTGATACAGCTTCAGTGTGACCCTGTTAGCAGCTAAAAGCATCCACACTCTCACTCCCCGAAGCAGCATGACAATGGAACAAAACCCTCCCCAAGTTCCCCTGAGACCAGAGCAGCGGTGCACCTCTCTCTTCTCATTTATCATAAACACGCTCATATTTCATTAGGCTGCGCTTTTGTTCAGGGTAGCACTCCTCACTGTCAATGGCCACTTTCTCCAATAGTGCTGGCTGGTTGCTGGCTAACAGGGCCACCCCTGTTCCTGTCCAAGGACGATTCATCACAGTATTGATCTGTGTGAACCGATGGCACACTCACTGGGGACAGCCACACCATGCATACATCTCTTTTATCAAGGTTTTCCTCGTTGGGGGGTGAGGTGTACATATTCATTTACATGCAGGTTAAGTCAATCAGAGAAAGAACAGTCATTCGCTCGAAAAATAGCTTTTCACTTATGTCTGGTTGAATTTCTGCAGCAGCTACAAATACATGATGTAATTACATTCAGGTTCAATTCTTATAAAGTTCAGTCCCCTAATGGTGACTTCGTGTTAAGACCACTTCTCTACATAGGGTGAATAAAATACTGAAATATTTTAAACCAATAATCTTTATTTACATTGTGTCAACTGACCTCTGAATGAAGCGGTGTCCATCAGTCAGTCCACAAAAATAAATCAGTCAGCAAATTTTGATAGATTTGCTATATAACTCATCATGAACTTACCAGTGTTGTGGGGTCACTTGACTCAAACTAATGACTTCATCCAGGATTTCATTTTTTGCCTTTTCAAACAGTTCATTCTGTAAAAAATAAGGTACAATTAATATTATTTGCCTTCACAAAACTGTCCTATCTTATGTTTTAGGACGTCTGTTTAAGTATCTCTTTTTTAAAAAAATATATCTTCGCTTGTGTTGAGCTTCAACTACAAAAAAACCGTTTGCACGTGTCATTGAAAAGAACTTTCTGGATGAGTCTCTCACCCTGTCCAGCTCTCTCAGTCGAGGGTAGTTGTTCTTCCATTCTGTCTCCAGGTTGAAACGGGACGCTGTACAAAGGAGGGACTATGACAATGAATATTTTATCTAAACACACTTTCAACATGTCTAATCTTCAACTTCACATTCAAAATCAGTCTCTGTTTAATCTGACATTAAACATTGTACAAGTGGTTCCACCATAAAGACTAATTTAGAAACCTAATCCATCTCTTGAAATTTCAAAATAAATCTTCCCTCTTTGTCATTTGCCAGGTGTTTTTCCATCATGCCTGAATTAATCTCTTACCTGTTTCTATCACTTTTTCACCTTTTCTCACACTTCATTGAACAATAATACTCTATAATCAACAGGCAGTGACTGTACAGGGACAGGGCCTGCTTTGTTTTTACTTGCTATGATATATGAAGCTTTTAGACGATTAATGGTGCCGATCCTTTATTAACAGGGGCTGAGGACTTTGCAAACTCACTCTCTTAACTGGTCCCCCAGGAGGGGAGGGGATGGGGCCAATCACACATGCCTTATCACAAGTCAGAGTTTTAGTTCTCACATAGGCACACACAGACACACACCGAGCCTGCTGTCCCTTTCCACAGCTCCCTATCTGCAGTGGAGATTAGGCTAATTGCTGGTTTGTGGGGCCAGAGCAGCGCCAAGCAAGAACAATTGAGGCCGGCTGTGTGTTAGTAGATGGGGCTATGGATCAATACCCCACACAATGTGCCTATGGGATCTGTAGTCTCATGGTCATAAATCTCCTGCACAGTTAGCAATGGGCTTGTAATTGTCTAGACTAATTGTAGTTGGAGTTGGACAGAGGACTGGAGGAGCACAGGAGTGTGGCAGGGTGGAGGAGGAAGAGCATCACCAAGAGGTGGTAGAATCAGGAAAAGTAGCACCTGTTCCCTGTGCAGTGTAATGGATGGAGGCAGGTACGACCACACATCACAGATAATGAATAACATCTCAAAATGTGATGTCACACTCTCAAGACATGCCTGGCACCATTCTGAGGTTTGGACATAAACATCCACTAATTGCTGAGAATAGCCATGTTGAAGAATCAGTGCACCCACTCTGTAACAAAGGTTAAAATATCCTGAAAGTGCAGTCTCACCTTTGAAGACATCAGCCTGCTGCTCTACAGACTCTCTAACCATCTTCCAGAAGCAGTCAGAAACAGCCAGACTCAGGTTCTTTGTGGTCACCTGGTGGGCCTTCAGCATGCCATCTCTGATCAAATGAATACATCAATTGTCAATTTAATATGAGTTGATGTGATTTAACCTTAAAGTTTGGTAAATCAAGTGTTACTTGCCTCAGTAGCCGGGAATTCTGGAAGAAGTCCTCCTCATAGTCTTTAATGGAGTCTATGCTTTCACCAGTGCTCCCTGCACAGAGTTTTACAGCAGCACGAGGGGTAAGTCGATGACAGTTCAGGTAATGTTGGATTTCATACAGAGTGATGATAATATTTGAATCTACTATTTATCAGCGCTACATAATTCAGCTTGTACAGGTAAAAACTTCCACGCAAAAAATACCCTGTAGAAAACACAAGTTCTAGCTTCGTGGTTCTTGTCATAATCTAAATGAGTGAATTGGAATGGGATCATGATCCTAAATTCCTCATTAAATAATGTGACATTAAACGCACAACCAAACATTACAAAGAAGTACATGTTACCTTTGCCTGTCACCACAGCAAAGTAGCCCAGGGCCTTCATGGGGAACAGTTTTCCTTCCACAATTTGCTGGATCTGAAATGATAAGCGAAAGAAAGGATTTCAGTTCTCTGGCTCATCCAGTCCGCACAACAAGATCCCTAAACATTGGCTCACTGAAGGAACCAGCTGGTTAAAATCTATGCACTGGATGCCCTCTGGTGGAGCAGCTGTATCATAGCTCTGGGCTGCCTTGTTGTATTGGCACTATAGGCCCAATGGTTGGGCAGGTGACCAGTTAAAACGTCTTACTCTGCTGGGACTGGCCAGGTTCTTCTCGGCCAAGTCCACTTTGGTCAGGACAAAGATGGTCCTTTTTCCTTGGGGGTCCATCTGGCTAACCAAGTCAGTTACAATGCTGCGCTCTGCATCCACACTGCCATCTAACAGAGAGAGAGCACATGTCGCAATAGATGAGACAATAGTATATAGATAAAAAAGTTTTTTAAAAAATGAGGATGGTAGAGTTTGAAAGAAATGAAAGCCTAGGAATTTGTATTTTGCTTGAGAAAACAAGGGTGAGGATCTGAAAGTCAGTCCTCTGACACCTCAGAACCCTGCCGACTTATTATGATCGGGAATTGCATGTTTATTACTCACCCTGAATACAAAGGATGATTGCGTTGGGGTTCTGCATGTAGGCTTTGCTGATGCTGAAGATGGTTTCCTTAGTGTCTGATGCCATGCCAGCTGTCACCGTCTGAGAGAGAAAAAAGATTTTATATTATAGAAATAGAACTAAATAATATTCCTTTTAAGATTTATATGAAAAGCTGTAGTAATAATAAAAATCATATATACTCACACTGATGACGCCTGGTAAGTCAACAAGCACCATCCTCTGGATGCCGGGGCCCTTGACACTTAGCGATATTGTCTGACATGCAAAAAATAAACATGATTATTCTGTGAAACATTTCAGAAGTAAATCATTATGTTTTCCATCTGAATAAAAGTACTATGTCCAACCTCCGAGCTAACTGTCTGTCCCTCCTTCACACTCTTCCTCATCCTCAGTTCAATCTCACGCCTCAGAGCAGCGAGCTGCAAGAAGCAGGAAAAAAGATTGAGTTATTAAATTGTGTGAAAAGGCAACAAAGTTAAAGCTGTAATTCATATTAAGTGGACAGAGTGACTGCTTTGGTGACTTACATCTTCCTCCTTAGTGAGGTCAAACTCTCGGCCACTGTCCTTGAACATGGCCACATGATGGGGGCCTTCGCTTAGTGTAACCTACAAAAAGAAGATGAACATTGTCAAAACATTCCATGTGTCACAAAATCAGCGTTTATTTGCATTTGAAAAATCTAAAATAATGTAATTCCTTTGTTGATGATAGTCAATATATAGTTTTAGATTCTATATAAGCAACATAGTCTTTCAGTAACAACTAAAATTCAGACATGTAGTAATAGCAGGATTTCAAATAAATCACCTGTTGATAAATCTTTTTCTTTTCATTCCACATCCTGAAGGACATCATTACACAGACATCTGCCAGTCTGAGACCACTAACCTTGACAGGAGATCGTGTCATCATCTCTCCCGAGCCCCGGGGAAAGATCCTTGCCTGAGCGATCATCTCCAGCACACTGGTCTTCCCAGCACTCTGATCCCCAACCACAACCACCTGAAACACAAGAGAGAGAAAGTGGGTGACTGAGGACAGAGAACACAGATAAGACAAAATAGGTGGGAAGGATTATTGATCATGGTCCAAGTAATCTGGTGTGAGGATTCATCAAAAAAAGTAAAAACCAAATCTAAAATATCTTTTGATTAACAGTATGATTATTTTTCATTGGCAAAAATTGTCGAACAAATAAAAAAATATAGCCCTTCTATGAAAACAGACCACTAAAGTGAATGAGGAACTAAATGTTACTGCTTCTTACTCTGGGTAGGTGGTCCTGTGTGTTGTAGTTGGCATCGTAGTCAGACAAGATATCCAGAACTTCAGAATACAGGTCAATAAGGGATTTCTACATGAGGGGACACAGAAATGAACATTAATGACACAGTATGCACTTATATTTGAAAGAATGTAATTGACACTTTTATCCATAGAGGATATGGGAATAACTAAACCAATATTAAAAGCAACAAATTACATTACATATCATTTAGCTGACGCTTTTATCGAAGGCGTCTTCCAATAATTACGTTCAACCGCGAGGGTACAAACCCAGAACAGCGAGTCACAAAACAGTTGCTCAAAGCAGCATTAAAGAGACAGCACAACAATTCTCTGTGAAAATATCACTGTGTCCCCAGAATGATTATATTTAATGATGAAAGTCAGTATAAAGTCCAAGTCTTTAAAGTGAATGTGTTTATTGTTTGTGTTTGAGTGTAGAAACCCACCTTCACTTTCCTTTGGTGAATCCCCTTATCGTCTTTTTGCAGCACCACTTTCCTTAACTCTTTATTCTCCTTCTCCAGTCTCTCCAGCATACGCTGATATTTTAGCTATGAAATTAACAGAAGTGTCCCATCAATTATCAGCACGAATAACACTTTTACACTAAAATGTTTTTTACTGTAGAATTTTACAAAAGCCAAGATCTATTTATCTGCACTCGACTAAAGTAATATCTTGATTTTGCTATAAAAGCATTAATTGTAATTATTTCTCTATTAACAGTTTCTCACATATGTACAGAGCTCTTTTCTTGTATAAATCTGTTCCTTGTTGAAAGAAACATTATGCATAAATTGGAGCATATATATTCTCTAACTTTATTATTTTTAAGTATTAATATTTAAGTATATAATGGCATTTTCAGGATTTGCTGTAATTTAATTTAACGTAAACTTTCTATTGCATCACATTGTGGATAATTTCAGTTTAAGTACACAATTTACTGTACCTGTGTACGCAGCATTTCTTCTTGAAGCTGGTCTAACTTTTCTTTGTCTGTTGACTAGAGGTTGAAGAATAAAAATTGAAAAAAAAGAACAGCAACAAACTGTTAATGATTAATTTCAGTTTTGAGAATAAGGGGTTTCCGTAACCCTCATCGCGCTACTTCACAAACATGAAATCCCAGCACCACCAGGGTTCATTACATGCACACTGTATTACAGAGAACCAGAGTTGAGAGTCAAGTTAATGCATTAACAGAACAAAATCAGATTTCAGGCAGACATTATTCATTCTGGGATTACTCAGCTTTGATCAACCAGCTCTGATTCACAGAACAAGCACAAATCACAACATAATAAGTGAAAAATACAAATAAATTTGATCCCATAATTATTTAGTTATTATTATTATACCTTGATTTTTCAAAACTTGGAAAACCTCATTTGATTATGTATATTTTTACACTTGCAACAGGTTTATGCAGGATGAGAGACAGGACAGAAAGCGTACATGGACAGATGGGACTAGCAGCAGGAGGAGGATTTAACAAACACACAGACAGACCAAACTACTTTAAGCAAAAGCAATTTCTCCATAACAGGTTTAGAAAGTGAGCAATAAACACCATATAGCAATATGTACCGACAGTGTGTTAAAAAAGTTGAATATGTTTAATTAAAAGAGATGTGTGGTTATTACAAACTTCTTATACCCAAAGACTTCTCCCGTGCAGTTGAAAACCGTAATTGAATTTATAATTAAAGTTGTCCATTTGTGGTAGTTTCAACAAGTGCAGCTCACACCATGCGATAAGTTGCCACTCCTCTCCATGCCGCATCTCCGTACATTGTACATGAATGGAGGGGGTACTGATGATTATTTATCCACTTGCACAAAGAGTGAGGCTGAGCTACTGCGCCACCTCTGGAGACAGGCTATGAAGGCCCATGCATGCCTTCTCCTCAGCCCTATGATAATGCAAAACTTAACACAGCCTGACAGACTATGGGGTGATACATGGAGACTACTGTTGAGAATATCAGGGGACAGACTAATGGGCTGTTTGCATTATAAATATAATTCAATCAGTCTAAAGGCTTATTTAAAATATTTAAAAACACTGACACCATGGCTGAAAGTTGAGGACTACACGCAAACACCAGCAAAATATAATGCAATCCAATGCTGCACAGCATTAGGATGCATTACTGTGTTTCTGTATTGTTTTGCAGCTGTTTATGTGTCCTCTGTCCCCTTCAGACTAGGAAGCTATGGTGAGCACTGCTAACAAAACAAATCATCCATAAAAGAAAGAGTTTCATTTAATTAATTAAATTGAAATATTCTTCACAAATCACAAATTCACAAGTTTAAATAGAGACTCACCACCAACTGAAAATCATGTGTTTTTACTGTTCTGTTGTTCTTTAAATGCTCTCCATGTAGCTGTGATGCTTCAATGTACTTCATGGTATGTCAGTACACTGTGACATCACTGTGAGGTTATAGGTGCACATCTCTGAGCATATCCAAACACACAAGTGATGCAGGATGTGGTCAGAGGTGCAGCAGACTGGAAACTACAAGGACCAGTAAAAACCTGAGTTCAGCCTGGTGTTAAGTTACTCGGATGATTTGTTAAAGCAGTTGCCAGTTGGTATAGATTTTTTTTCTTAGAATAAATATTCTATCCTACTCTGTCGCTGTGATCTTTTAGGAAACGTTTGTGGGAAAGGACGAGTCTAAGTGGGGTGGGACCTTCACCTTGCGCTTCTGTTGAGGGGGGCTGGGGTTCGGAGGCGGACTGGGAGCGGGCTCTGGCGGTGGGGGGCGCGCACTATCGGCTTCAGCGGCCCGCCGGACCTCCTCCTCGTGCCGCTGGATCTGCTGCTGAATAAGAATGAGCTCGCCGAGCAGACCCTGCTGGGGTACGTCATAGTCAGAAAGAGGTAGGAGCAGCAAAAAACACAACAACCGGCCACTGGGCTGGTCGGCCTTACAGGCCAATGCTGCTTCTGAACACAGGAGACCTTGGTTCTGTTCATGCTGGAGAATCATGAATCAGTCAAGGCTCGAATTAAACAGAATCAATATCTTTGGCTTTGTTAATCTTGCCACCATCATCAGTTTGACCTAACAAAGTGAGTCTCTCTCAACCACTAGGGGGAGATGCCAAACTTTGCAAGACTGACGGCAGAAGAGGCAACTAATACCACAACCAGCACCTCTCGACAAGTGGCAACAAAAGTGACTCTGCTCCTTTTCCTCAAACTACCACATCAATGATTCAGATAACACTATAACTGATTTACATACTTATACTTAGCAGTTTATAATACATAGAGTAGCTGTAACGATGAAGTAATAACCAAGCTCACAGGGTTGTGTTTCAACACAATGTTCTGTGGTTCTGACTGTATCTAATCTGATTATGTTGAAGATGATGACGATGATCTAATAAGCAAAGCATTGCGATATTGCTCTATCAGGACTGAAGCACAAAGCAGAATGTACAGCAGGTGAAATGTTTCAAGGTCCCCAACATGATTTTACTCTGCAATTGTATTCTATATTTTGCTTCTTTGCTTTAGGAAATACACATAACATACATGTTAAATGTATTTTGAGCTGAAATATCAACTTGTGTGATATTTGTTGTGTACTATGTTCATGTTGGAGACCATAATTGCAGACAAAAAGCAAGAAACGGGAAAGGAAGGCTATTATTTTTTCAATGCAGCTTCTCTTTGAATATTCAAAGTCAAACCTTTGTGTAATTTCTTTTTTTCAAATCTTAACTCTGTGTAGTGATAGAAAACAATAGACCTTACAGTAACATACAAAAACATTTTACAAAGAGACACTGAAACTGGTCACTTTGGAAATAGACAAAACTAAAATGAACAAGGAGAGAGGAAGACATGAATAAAACAAATGCATACAAAGTGATATTCTGTAGGAGGAGGGATGGCCTCCAGGACAGAATTCTGGGAAAAAAAGTCGAGGAGAATGACGGATAGTAAAGGCACTTGGAGCAATGACAAATATTAGAATGAATGCCACATAGTAAGCACATGGTAACCTGTGTCGGTGGTAAAGGCTTTTTCACTTAATACCACACTGTAAGCTGCCATGAAGCTAAAAAATACAGTTTCTTACCAGAAAATTGCCTTGATGGCTAAAAAAGCTTATTTTGAAAACAGACTGACAGCCAATGTGAATCATTTCACACTCACACTGAATCAAAAGGCACCCAAACTTATTGAATATAGTCAAGTTCATATCATCAGGAACTTGTTTTAATTGTAAGTTTTAACAACTCCTGTAATGTGACATGATATGATGCATTAATCCCTGTTAAATACAATCATATATAAATCGTATACAACTTTTTAAATTCAATCTGGTACAGTTCTTGCTGCTGAAGTGAAAAGCAGCCACAATGTAGACAGCAGCAGAGAGAGGCCGAGCTGTGGTGGAGCTGTGGTGGAGCAGAAAGCAGAAAGCTGAGGAGTGTCAACAGGTTTTATTAACTTGCCTTCTTGTATTGCTTGTCACTGGGGTCTTGTGTGGCTGCAGAAGAAGAGTCTGTGGCTTTTAGAGGAGGATCACCTGAGGTTTCTACCAGAGGAGACATATACCACAAAACAAGGTTACAAATAAAATGCTTCATTGACTAATGAGTGCTACAAGTATCCACAAGCTTAGGGAGACAACACTCAATGACAAAATAAGACAGATACAAAAATAACAAATAGTTTAATGCTTGATTAGAAAAATAAAGACCAGCGTGATTAAAGTTCAAATGTTTGGAAAATATTGCACTGAATACATTTATAATTTGTGTATATAGGTAAATATACAGTAAAAAATATATATTATACAAGGCAAATTTACGGCTTTCATTTTTGTGTAATTTCAGTTCAGTTGTGTTTCAGAGTTCTTGTGATTCGTGAATTATCCATGTAACTTTATTTAAAATGACTTTAATATGTTTTTTTAATAAATAGCAATAATGTTTACATCATACAAGCTGCAGCAAAAGTCAAGATTGTTAATTATAATTAGCTCCAGTAAAACAAATGGAGTTAGTTGAGTTCTTTGAAACATTAAAAAACTGCACAATAAAGATTTAGAAATCGGTTCTGTTAAGGTATAAGGTTGGATACTTATTCACTAATATTTGATTGATGGATTTTCATTCCCCCGGAAATGCCATTTAATTCTGCATGCACTAGCCTAGCCACATTAATGAGAAAGGTGTTTACAAAAGCATTATTCTGCAACATGCAGTAAATTGTCTAATGTAGGATCCATGCAAATAAGTAATCTGGGAAAAAAAAGAAAAAAAAGTTTGAAAGCCAAAGGTGGAGAGATAATGGAAAGAACCACAGATGCTACATTGTCGTTTTTCACAGCAGAGGTGTCTGCCCTGACAAGTCATTGCACAAATAACTTTAGATTAATTAGGTCTTTGCGTAAACTGTTGTACATGAATACATTTAGGGTTACATCACACCTATTAATTAAGAAATACATATTTATTGAACATTTGTAGAACTTTCAACGTAAATTGGTGTCTTAAGTAAAGTTCCTTTTGTGTGCATTTTCCAAACATCTGAGTGTCAGTAAATGAAAAAAGAAAGAAATCACCCCAAAGATTAGTGATGGGAGTCTAATTAAAGAAAGCAGCAGGTACAGGCCAGGGGAGAGAGGGATGAAGTCAAAGGAGGCAAAAATAAAACAGATGGGACAAAGTAAAGCCAAGGACAGTCAGGTTAAAGAAAGTCAAAAGGGAAGAGGAGACTAAAGGCGACACAGTGGATGTGCTTTTTGGAGCTTTCTAGACTATGAAGACAAAATTGAAAACATTGGCAGCTCCATCTGTGATTTGATGTGAACTAGAGAATAGTAAATATTCACTGATTCAAGTTAACAGATGTCAGCAATATGATAAAATCGTTATCTGCACAAATAATCAAACTCCTGTACATATTCAAGGACCTTTTCACCATCCTGACCACAGGTCACACATTTCACTAAATAAAGCACCTGAATTAACAGTGAGCACTGCTGTTGTTGACAGCAGCACTGGCCTACAACCTCGAAAACAATGTGGTAGAGAATCCTCCTGCCTTTCAAACAAACCAATGACAAGCACTCCTCTGGACCGCAAGCAGGAACCCACAACCAAACCAATATCGTGGCAAGATGGTGGTCAAACAGCAGCAGAAAGTAAGGAGGGGGAGTGGGCAGCGCTACTGAGTGCAGGGTTTACACACCTAACAACAGATGCAGACCAGCTCCTTTGACTTCACTACCCAAACTCACACCTGTGAAGAATGTGGAGGGGAACAGGAGGGGAGGGGAGGAGGAGAAAGGCAGAACAACACAAGATAAAAAAATCATAAAAGACAGAAGCTGAGGGATGATGGTCAAAGCAGGGACACAGCTAAATGGTGTGTATTAAACCAAAGCAGCCAATATGCCAGAAATTTAAGTGAAGTAGCCACTTCATGAGAAGCTGTTAAAAGAGATAAGCACACCCTGAACTTGGCGTGATTCTCAGGAGCCCAAAATGTCATATTTTGTAATCAAACATCAGGCACATTTGAACTCAAAACTGAAAACTACTTGGTATATTAGAGAAATACTCTGGCAAAATTCGAAACCGATACAAATTGTTTGTAGTTAATGTCTTTTATATAAATGTATTGAAGTGAAACAGAAATGTTGAATTTGACGACTGTCTATCCAGGTTTGCAGCAGTAATACACATCCTATCTAGATTAAGGTTCTATAACTCAAGGATTTCTAGCTTTGCTTATAAAACAACTGATTCAAAACACATTTAACATTAACAAGGGCTCTTTGAAGAATCCTTTAGCAGGAACAAAAAAGCAGAAATTTACAACACAAAGCAGGTTACTTCCTTGTATTTCCAAATAACTGATTCTATGTTATCTTATTCTGCAGAGGTCACTTTGAGGTATGTGTAACTGCAAATACAATATTTTGAGTGTGAGTGCTGACCACTGAATTGTTAGATAAATAATAACATTATATAAAAGGAAAGATGTGGAAGATGAGGTTTGTTTCAGTATAATTCCTGTTATAGTATTTTTAAATTCTGGACAATCTGATGTCTGCAAATGATGATTTGATTTTTGTCATGACACAGTAAATTTGAGGACATGTCAAAGTTTTTTTCACTTACCAGACGTCAGGAGGCTTTTGAGGAAAGTGAAGTTCTCTCCTATCTTGTCTAGATCAGGTAGTAATTTGGCTATTTCTTCTATCTCCGGTAGAGCTTTGGCCAATTTATCTGTGGATACAAGAGATAACAGGTGAAGTGGAGATGACAAAAAGGTAGGGAGTCCTATCCCATGATAAGTAACTGAGCAGCCACATTTAAAGTATAATCTAAGAACAATACTCCCTGTTTGACTAGGTGAAACATGAAGGGATAATTTCCAGAAAGGTTATGGCCGCAAATTAATAAATCCAGATTTGAATTGTACATCTGCTTCTTAATGAATCAGGAGGCTAAAATAAAGAGGCTTACCAAGATCAATTTGTTCACTCAGTTCCCAGATAAAATCAGGAATGACCCAGTTGTATTCACTTAAATCAGGCAGCATGTCCTTCCATTCCTCATATGTCTGGAGGAGAAATGACAAACTCTTGTTATTTTCACACAAGCAGTGCAAGATATTAGTTCACTGAGAAATTGGTAATTGACAGAAATGCATGATGAGCGCTTGAAAGCCAACAAATGACAGGCAAGTGTAAAATTTTTAAAAAGATATTAAAGATAGGGATAACAGAGAATTTAAAACAACTTTATGAATCAAAACTGTGTTGAAAAACAAGTTACAAACATTCAGTGGCTTAATTCTGACCTTTTTAGCTGTGTACCCCCCTCCCACTGCTGTGCCCAGCAGAATGTATCGTAGCTTCAGCAGCCGGGCAGCCAGGCGGACCATCCAGAAGTTGCGCTGCTGCTGGTAGCCACGGCCCCCTGACCCACGGGGAGGCTTGGGCGGTCGCATTGGCAACCGTGACATGGAGGTGAAATAGCGTGCTGCCATACGATGGGGAGGTCGCTGAGGGTTGGCGTTTCCCGAGAAACGGTGGTGGATGGCACGGGACAGAGGGTGCAGCTTCTGCAGTGGTACTGGAAATCTCACCCCCATGCTGGTGGAGACCAGGCTCCTGCAGGCCGTGCTGGAAGGATGGAGAAATTAGAAGAAAAAATTACACGAGCTCACAATCTCAGAGGGAGCTTCTAGTCCCTCCTAGTCTTTCCCTAATGATTCAAGTAAAGTTATAGAAACACTGATTTTAGTCACAGGAGAATCGTGCAGTTAGGTCAGTGATCTTCTTATCATAACGTAGCATAACAAGGAGATTCAAGCAAGTAGAAGACATATGGCTTATTTGAAGGTAATGTTAGCATTACTTACGTCACGATCCCATTAATAAATACATCTAAACTCTATGTTCTATTACTAACGTATATTTAGGAACTCGTTATTCTAGCTAGTGTGTAAAAGGCTTTTCAAGTCAGCTCACAACAGCCTGTCAAACAAACCGTTCTGAGATAAGTCACAGCCACCCGAGTTAGCTACCCAGCTAACCAGTTAGCTGGATAGCTAACGTCCCGATAGCGCAGTGTAATAAATAATAATAATATGTCAGTGACAGTGTGAAGACAGGTGCATTTTGTTAGCTATAATATTTTTTAAGAGGTGTCTTATTCCCAGCTAGCTTGTCTGTCCCCAGCTGTCAGAGGAGGCAGCTCCATCAGTGTTTTCCTTCCGCAGCTAACACATCCAGCTTAACCGCTGCACCTTCACTAAATACGGACTCACCAGGCGGCTTTGCCCCCGACACGCAACATGGTGCGGTTCTTAACAGCGGCTGAACACAAAACTCCTTCAAATTCACTCTTCAGGCACAGTTCAATTCATCTCTCCAAATGGTGCACATTACAGCTAACTGTCTCGTTAGCTAGCAAGGACACAGCCAGAATGACAGTCCACTTCCTGTGGACGGTGCAACCGCCAAATCGGCACCGGAAGAGAACGCACCAGTAACAATAGTTCCTATCTTTTGGCGTAATCTTCTTTTCATTGACCATTGAGTTTGTTTTATTGTGGACGAATCTGGAGGATTTTAAATATATATATATATTCCTAAATCATTAACTTGTCAATCCTTTTGTTAGATTTTCACCCATGGATGTAAATTTAGATATAAAAAACAAATTTCCCAAATTTTCTAAAGAGGTCTAACAATATATTAATTTCTAAATCTAATCACAAAAACCCAAAAGAAAATACTTCTTTTAATATCTTAGTGTTACAACCTCCTGGCTCTTCTGTCTTTTGATATCCCGTCCATGTACACTATGTTTTGTTCTCTCTCTAATAAAGAATTGAAAAGTCTCAACAGCCTCTCCTCTGTTTTTGCTTCTCTCCAAAATGTTCTTCATCAGCTGTGACTCCAAAACCCTGAAAGCATGTTTTGTGTGCCCATCCCAAATGTATAGGATCAGTAAAATGGGCCAAAATGTGTGGCTATTCATCACTGCATTATAATAATAATAATAATAATAAAATTGGTATTTCTCTTCTGACATTGTATCAGTATGGAATCAATGCAACTGTTTCATAAAAACATAAAATGTATTATTTATAAATACAAATGTTGCAGCCTTACAGTATTTCTGTGATGGAATAATATCTTGTCCGAGATGAAGACTGTTTCTTTTCATCCCCAGTTCAACTGTCACACAAGAAAACCACCAACTGAGATTAATTTTCCTAAGCAAACTCTGCAACCTAAGAGAGCCATGGAAAGTGCTCATGAAGTAGTCGCAGTAGACATCATCCTGAGAGCTGACTATCTGATTTTTAATGTAAATTAGAAATACCCATAGCTGAATGTAATTTGAATAAACTGTAATTATAAAGTCATGGGCAAAGTGCAAGTGACAAAGTGTGAATGAACAGACTGATACGCAGGGTCTGTCAAGGGATCAGTATACAGCTGCTTATGTAAACATTTGTGCACTTTAAAGTATTATACTGACAGTATTGAGAACTGCAGTACCCTAAAGCCACATGTAACCCAATTCAGGGGCTGGATCCTCCAAAGCCCACATTTATAGTGAGAATGCATAGAAATATGACAATATGCAGCAGATAGTTTTCAAAACATTTATTGAAAAGGAAGAAATCAAGATAAATCTGAAATACAATCCTCAGGGAAAAAAAAGAAAATAAATAAAAAATAAATTATGAGGTAAAAAAAAAATCCAAAAAATGTACATCTCCGCCAATAACAAAAATACATATACCCAAGTGAACCTCCTGCTGAGGTGTCGGAACTGCAAATAAAGAGCGCTGACATACATATGGACTGTAAGAAGTTTTTACCACACGTATATTTTCATTCAGTTTGGGTATCAACTTTTATTTTTTCTATTTATCAGAAATAGACATTTCCCTGAGGAAACAACACCAAAATGAGGCTTCATGTACTCAGTGGCTGACTCAATCTAAAAGTCATTCGATGGTTTTTAAAAAATACATCATGTGAGAGGCCAATGCTGACTGTCGGTATATGTTGTACCTGTATAAGCACATAGAGGCCTCAGCATTAAATCAATTGCTTCGACATAGTTGTGTCAGAATAAAAGGCAAAACTGTAGCGTAGAGGAAAAGCAATAGTATTTACACTTTGCCATCATTAAATTGATGAATTATCTGACTCAAGGTGCACAGTCATGACACAGCTGATACCGAATAATTTTGCCCCTAGCAGCAATATAACCACTTCTACAATAGACTGCCGATATTGAGCAGCAATGCACATTCTTTTTTGCCAATTTCATATTAAATTTACACAGATGCAAACTATTTTTGCTAGACCAAAATAAAAGTCAAACACATACATTGGATGATAGGACATAAAAGTAACAAGATTGTCAGATGTTTAAATTTGCTGAAATGAGGTGATAATATACAACATTAAATTAATTATTCCCTTCTTGTGTCAGATCCTTGGTTTTAAGAAAAAAATTGTATGAAAGAGAGAGAGAGAAAAAAAAAAAAGAAAAGCAAAGAAGTAGAATTTGCAAAGACACATTTTTCTAATCAAAAAGTTTAAAGTCAACATTTGCTGCAGTATAATTTACCCAAGACAGATCAAACACTGATCACACTTCTCAAAATCTGGTTAACATTGTGAAATAAATGCCCAGGATTCATGCCCAAATAAGGAAGATCCAGCCGAATGCAAGTCTACGACAAACGTTTGAACAAATCCAACAGACAGTACAAATCAAAAGTTGACAAACAAGTGATTGTAACACACAGTACCAAAATAGCAGTAAAAGACACACCAGCCCTTTGATAATCCAAAAACATACACTTTTATATCTAAATCTTCTCTGACTTTTATGCACACACTAGAAATGTATCTCATATAAACAGACAGAATCCAACATCTAATATTATTATAACTGTTTAAAGTCCATTTCTGCCCAGTTAAATCAGATTTGAAAGAACTGAACAAGCTAAATAAATCTTTGTTTTGAACTCTTTTTTTTTTTAAATAATCTATATAGATGTGATGAAGTCTTTGGGAATAGAATCAACAATGGTAGTATTGCATTGCATTCAATTTTGTTCTTTACAAAACATTCAATTTTAGCCTCAGTAGGAATCTATGGAGAAAAATATCAAATCCTGAAATCAACGATAAAAAGAAAAACACCACTGAATATTCAGAAGCATAGAAGCCAATGTGGCCCTTGTTTGAGCACATCAGCAAGTTTGTCTATTTTTTAACAAAATAACAGATTTAGACTATTCTTCTGTAAATTGGCACCACAATGTCCATTTCAATCATACTATTCATCTTACCAGTTTTATCAACTATACACCCCTCTCATATTGACAAGTTGCCCACAAAATACTATAACAAAATACTTTCCTCATTAAATAAACTAGGTATCCATGGAAACTATGGTCACATGTCACATTTGAGCTTGTCACAAAAATGTTATGGGTCAAATGTTTCATATACATTTGGATTATTACATGCATCTCAATATACAATGGCTTTTAGCAACTGAGGAACTTCAGACATTTGTTACCACTGAAATTGAAGAAACCTTTTGCAACTGTTGAATAAACTCATTGATGATCAATAAGCTAAAGATGATGTTATGTGCCATATAAATATCATACAACACAAACGTTTGAGAAGTAATTTGCTTCATGTCACTGAGGAGTCAAAAATGTATCACCTTGACATTCGTTAGACATGGTCTCTTATAGCCACTGAGTCACACTCTGAAAAGAGTATCGAACATATAATTCATGAAAGACAGCCTGCAATTAGTTATACTGACATTAGGAACCAGCTGAGTATTTTCTCATGTGATCCTCCACCATAAATCAGCATTTTGACTTTTAAACATCTCTGGTGACTTTAAGAAGTCTGTAGTTTTCTCCTTAAGTGACTGTTCATAATGATTTATGAGGAATTTCTAATGTTATATGGCTAAAAAAGGATTTATTTGCTTTTAAAAAAGTGTTAAAATGCAGAAAATGTTTTCAAATCCACTCAAGTGTAAACCGTTTCTTTTTTCTCAATACTTTGATTTTCCCAAAAAATGTTTTGCAAAAGGAGGAAACTACAAGCTTCTACGGCTACCCTCAAAGTCTACAGACTGTGTGAGTACATTATATTTTGGGGAGATATTGGGGAGCAGCAAGAAATAGCAGTGAACATAAATATAGCCCTTAACTCTCTATGCAGGTAGCCTGTGTAATACATGAATTCAACTGTGCATGGTAATCTGCATCTGTCTTATGCAGGTTGTGCTGTTGCGCGGATCTTTTGATTGCATCAAGAGCAGCGAGAGGATAAGATGCACAATTCTTCTTAATTCTCCATCACACTTTCAGTCTTCCATAGGAAGAAATTGTGTTAAAAAAAAGCTACTGGCTTTCTGTAGCCAATCTGGAGTTTGCAGATGCAGGATGCTTTGATTCATATGGTCTCATGCACGATAGCCAGACAGATTCATGCTGCCTCTCGTGTGGAATTTCTTTTTAAAATACAGACGTGTTGATGTAAATGTGTCTTCTACAGTAATGCTGTATATTTGTAGTAATAGTTCTAGTATTGCAACCGTCTAGTCTTTCAGGTCCTCAGAACGTGACACATACGGAGGTGGCTTCATGGGGGTGTTGATGTACTTTTAGTTTCATGTCCGACGTGACGAGATGCTGACAGGACATGGTTCAGACACAAAAACATTGGATTAACGGTTTATAGCCACACTAGCAGCCTGCAAGGGTGCAAAGTTCCTGACACCCTTGATAACAGATTTTGATGGATGTAAAACATTTAGTATGTTAGCATGCTGTGTTGGAATATCAAAGTTCAGCTAATGTTGATAATTGAATCATAAGCTTAAGAGGTAACCTGTTATGTTCTAGTGTTATTGACATTTTGGTGACATGAAATGTTTAATGAGGAGCTACAGAAAAGAACATCCATGTTGGAGTTCATGACAGTATATGAGATATTTCAGTCTGAAACAATCAGTTGATTCACTATGCTAGCAAAACTAAAAAGCGAAGATTAATTTTTTGAAAAAAACAGGTAACCAGGTTTTGTCAGGTAATCTCTGACAAAAATAATGGAGAGCCTGTCACAGGTCCCAGCCTGTGGTTGAGAGTGGATGAGCACATCTGTTTGTGTCTGTCTGCCTCACTGTTCTTAGGTCATTTTTTACAATCCTTACTCTCCGTTCACTTTCACTGTTTTGTACTTTCTGTGATGTATAATGTGTGGCCACTTCAAATACCTTTTTTGCATATTCACAAACAGTATGATTGATATAGGCCATGTTACAATGTGGCTGAGGACAGCAGGTCTATAAATACATTGTAATATTTTCAGACATATTGTGCAGTTTCCAAATCAAACTCATCCTTATACTTTTCCAGACTTGTACGATCAACCACTTTGATAGTTATATATTTGTGTTTATTATTAAATGGGATCATGAACTTCTGGTTGGGCTGTGCAATTTAAGAGACCACAGCCGTCCATCATTCTCAAATTCCTACAACTCGTCGTGCTTGACCTTGTGGTTCATTCATCACAGGGTGAGATTAAAAACTGTTTGGTTATCACAAAATGACTCATTAAAACGAGTCTATTATGTACATTAGATGTTTAAGACCACTACATAGTAGCAATCAGAGCCAGCAGCACCCATACCAGGTCAGACTGGGTTTAAGTCCTAAAATGAAGTGATGGCTGCTGGGAAAAACAAAAACATATTGGACATTTTGCAGTTTGTTTTAAAAACTGTAAGATCACATCATATTGAGTTGGTCAGTGCAGACACCTAATCTATCTATTACTCAGTCCACGTTCAACTACAGGCTTCCAACAGCAGAATCTCTCCATTTCAAACCGGAACTAATGTCCTCTACCTCAAACTCTTCCACTCTTCCTATATGAGCCAATCCTCTTAGTTGCAAGTTCAGTCAGAGTTGGTCGTACTTGAGGACTAAATACTTTATATTTACATCAGAAGCGGGTCCTCTCTATGGAGGCCGCCATGTTTTTACTGTAGCCCAGAACGGACAGACTAACACCTTTTGAGTATTTATGACAACTGGAAGCTACCACAGGTTCTCTTTTTGTGTTTGGAAGGGGAGGGTGAGGTGAGGGGTGTTCAGCTGCAACATGCAACTTCACCACTAGATGTCACTTAATTCTACACACTGAACCTTTAAGTCTAAATGGGTTTTCTAATAATGTGGTTGCAAATGAAATGTGAACACCTAGTTATTTTTAACAGTGGGAGTGTTGAAATAAATTACTAGCACAAATTTGTCAGAAGCTATCTCTGAAGTGGAGTGGGTCTTTAGCTCTACACAAAGACGAGAGACATTTATTAGGTCGACTTGTGATTTTGAACTGGGGTTGCTGCTCAGCTTTGGTGAACAGACATCGCAATAAGGGAAGGGAATCAACTTTGACGTACGGATGTTTTAAGGACATTTAAAGCAAGAGAGACCTGAGAGTCTGAGACCTCGTTCGAGATGTATGGACCCCACCATCTGTGTAATTCTGTGGTTTTTGCAGTAGTGTCTATGGAACTACAGTGTTGGAGGCAAGTCTCTGAATGGTGATGACAAGCAATCATCCTATTGAATGTGCTTTCACTAAGCACACCTTTAAAAATGTCTACTGTATGAAAGGATAGCTGGAGGCATTGTGGGGGGGTGCTAGGAGTTGATCATGAATTGATAAGTGGAGCCATTTTCAGGGCGGGGTTTGGCTTCTGTGGTGGTGGTTGGCTTTGGAGGCCAGTCAGGGTCCACACTCAGCTCCTGGGCCAGATGCATGTAGCGGGCCTTGGGCATCTTGCGTGGGCAGCACAGCCAGGACAGACACTTGTACGCCTGCAGGTCAATGCCCCTCTGAAAATACCACAACCCCAAAAATAAACAAATAAATATTAAAAAAAAAAAACAGAGATTGGAAATAAGGGAAGGATGAAATGTTCCATGAACAGGTTTCCTACTTTGTTCAGATTTAAAAAAACTTAAATTAACAAATCAGACAGTGACATGCATCTTTAGCTGTTGCATGCAAAACAAAACTGGAGAGGAGACATTTGCTCGATACACAGGCACATTTCTTTACCATTTGCAGCAGGTGCACATGCATGCAGGTCGTTCAAAACTAAATTCTGCATGATAGTTAAAGGAGTTGCCTGTGGAAAGTTTAAGAGCGAGCCTTCTCCTTGAAAACAAGCTCATTGAGTCACAGATAGAACAAAGGATTCCACAGGAGATCTCAACAGATGAAAATATATTACTAACATTCAAAAGTAGCCGGCTTTAAGTTTTTAAACATACTATACCTGTTAGGAACCACTGTAACTGTTGACTGACAGACTTAGCTAAAGGTACGTAAGCGACAAGTGCAGCAAACAGAATGCTTCAGTTTGGGCACCCCATGACATTTAAGCTCAAAGACAATTTCAATTTCAGGGTTTGTTGCTCCAGTCTAGTGCAGAAGCTTAAAGTCGTAATGAATTAAAAAATAAACTTTGAACAATTAACAGTAGAATAAAACTGTTTATTTATCTCTTGTCGTTTATCTCTGTGCTCAACACGCGTTGTGTCTTTTTTGGGGCGCCAACCTGAAAAGATAACACCTCCGACCCAAGCTGTCACTGGTCTGTAGGCATAAAAAGCATTTACAAGCTGGAGGGGTTACTAAGGACCTACCATGCAGGGTGCCCGAAATGTTCTGATTAGGGACAGTTTCCTTATTTTGAAAACGTAAAACATGGAAATGAATAAATTGTTATTTTGCTTGAAATATTAAATTGATCTTTATACTTTTTGGAAATCGGCGAATCTTTTAGTCACTGCAATAGAAACTTAGACCAGGGGTGCCCAAAGTTTTTCATGCCACATTTAGAAACTAAATATATACTCATGTATGTAAAGACCTTAGATGTTTATCTAACAGATAACTAGCATATCATGACTGGACTGGTTGGATAGTGGAGAGTGCTCTCTTGTTGCTTCCCTATTCAGAATTTTACTACACTAGCACATGTAACATGCTGAGCATGAAGGTGTTAACCACCTTGTTAAAAGGAAATGTTGTATGGTACTTTGAGTGAGCATTACTAATTCACTTGAACATCAAGCCAGTGGCTTCCTGGTGATGACTCATTTATCTCAGTGTAAATAGGTTAAACAGCTTCAGTATGAATGTAATAAAGTAAACTCAATGTCATAAAGCTAATCTGAAACAGAGTGAAGTACCACTGTAACCATTATCAAGCCTTGAACCGAGTGTCCATCAGGACAACACGAGGTGGAGAAGAAAAATCAGAATGAGACTGAGGTCTTGGTTAGGGGTTAAAATAGAAAGGTGTGCTCTGTAGTATTAGAGATACAAGTCGGGACAGTGAGAGGGAGCACCACACAAGAGGAAAATGAAAGGGCTAGAGAAGAAGGTGTCAGATTTTCCCAACCTGTGGTGTAGGGGCGGCAGGAGTGATGCTGAAGCTGCCCTGTTTGTCTCGGCTGAACACAAGCTTCCATAAGATGAGGTCAAGGATGAAGGTCTATGGAATAGCGCAGTGGGCAGGGGAAAGAATTACAGAGATTTGATTTGAAATTAGATTTCACATATTGCACTATTGTGTTTTTTCACTGGTTTTGTCACATTGTGTCAAAGGTTTAAGTAATCATGTGTTGCAATTAATCTTCCATTAAGTTGTGTGTTAATAATTACATGCAAAGTTAAAATGACAATTAATAGAATTAGTAAGGAGACATTACATTAATCCTGATATCTCAATATATCAAAAAATATTTGATTATGTGCAAAATCACTTTGGTTTGTTTTTTTATTTCATTGTGGAGGTGAAAGCAGGTTACTCTGGGAGTTTGGGTGTCTGCAGTTTGTGTATGCAAGGGCAGCTGTCTAGAGGAGATCAGAGTGATACTGCTCCACTGTTTGGGACAGGCCAGCATAAACTATCCGTTGCCATGCAGTTGTACAATAATAAATTATTTTCTTAATCCGTCTGTCAACAGATTAAACAAGCGTTCGCTGCTTTGAGGGATATCAAATACCTGCATACATTTCATCCAAAAATGTTAACATTAGTCACTAGTTTTAACAATTGCAAATAATAAGTGTCTCTTGTTTAAGACAATAATATTCATAATATTCTTCTCACATCACAACACAAGATCAATCCTTCTCTCCAGCAAAGTGAGACAAAGATGAGCACATAGCATGAAAAAACTGAACATGAGAAAAACATTGAATGTTACCATGTGAGTATGTGTGTGTGTCTTACCTCCACCACCACAGACACAGCAGCATTGACTATGATAATGAGGAAAAGTTTTACCCTCCAGTCAAAAGGGACACAAACAATCTGCACAAAGAGAGAGAGAGAAAGAGAGAGAGAAAGAGAGAGAGGGAAAGAGAGTCCAATGTTGACCATCAATCTTGTGACATTAAAAACTCAGCCAGTGGTTACTACCAATGCTTTAGGGTCTGCATCTTAAGTAAGGCATGTATAAAGTAAATATGGTGCTTGGTATGATAAAAACCAGACACAATTTGTACACCAGAGCTGAATAAAGGTGTGCATTTCTTTTGTGAATGATGTTTTCTTACCTCTAGAAACGTGTCAATAGTTTTCACAGGGTGGAACATGATGAACAGTAGGAAAAAATACAAAATCAGGACAGACACCACAAAAGGCCCTGCGGAGAGAAAAAATACACATAAACAAACTTACAATATAGAAAAGTACAAGTATATGTAACTATATAAGGACAGATTTATTCAAGTTTCTTACAGTTCTTGTAGCTGGGCTGCCTGAACGGTTTGCCCTTCGAGAAAACAATGGCAACAATGAGATACTGGAAGGAGGAGACATAGAAGAGGCTGGTGTTCGCAAAGTTTTGGATGTTGTGGTCGTCCACTTGTGTGTTGTTGAGGTCGGACATGTTAATGTGTGATGACAGGTTGCAGACACTGGGTGAAGACAAAGTTTGATTCAATATAAACGTGTTGATTAAAAATACAGCAACACAAATTTAACAGACACAAATGATAAAATATTTTATTTTGTACATTGGTCATGACAGCAGTTACTCACTCTGTGAGGGGTGTCCAGATGGTGTACCACGGCTGCTGCTGGACCCACAGGAATGTTAAGGTCTGGAAGCCCAAGCAGATGAGGATCTGTGTCAGCACAGAGAACAACAGAGACCCTGAGATCAGACCTGATGGCGGCCGGCGCGGCACAAGCTCTTTCCACGCTGGATTGAGACTCACTGAAAAGGAAGAAGGACAGTAAGTTAAGACACAGGTTAAGAAAACAAATAAATGTGTGAGACATAACCATGGTGTAATTCATATTGCTTTTGTCTATATTGTTACTACTCTTCTACTTACTGGTAAAGACAATAAGGAGGATTATGGCGATATCAATAAAGAGGAACTGGAAGTCTCCGAGGTTACTGAGGATCTAAAAAACAAAGACAACAGACAGTTCAGACTTCTTCTTAATTCAACTGCTAATATAGATTGTGGAGGCAGCAGTACGTACAGAATAGAGGAGGGTGACACTGATGTACTGGATGATGCTGTAGAGGGCCATGAACTTGAACACACAGAAGGAGGTGATGAGAGCGGCGCGGCCCTCCCTGTAAAAGCAATTAACCACCATGTTATCTCTAAATGCAACACACAACCCCAAAAGTCAACAAAGTAAGCAAGTTTAATCCACTTCAAAGCAAAATACTAAAAAGACTCCACCAAATGAGGGAAAGTCAATGATAAAACAGTCACTATGACAACAGCCTATGCTACAAAATCACAAGTAACAACTCTCTGCCCATGTTGAACTTGAGGAGCTCTTCCCTTCAAGTTTTATTTCTGCATTTGTTTATTTAAATGTGTGGAATGAATCTAAAAAGAAGGACAGAAATACCTGATGAGGCTGGGGACACAGGAGATGTTGGGGGTCCTGGATGTGAAGGGAGAAGCTACAGAGGCCTCAAGCTCTGAGAGAGAGATGCCACCATGAGCCCTCTTCAGAGCCTGAGTGAGGAAAGAGACAGATAGTTTAAGTACAGACTAGAGTACGTTAATTTCCATTTCAATCTGTTATTGTCAGACCAAACATTTATTTGTATGGTGGTTTACATACCCCACAATCATTAGCTCCATCTCCACACATCCCCACAAAGTAGCTGCATGTAAGAGATAAAGAACAGTAACTCCATGCTCAATTTGAACATGTCTATTTTTTCTACAGATTTTATTGACAGAGTATTTCTTCCATTAATGACAACAGCTAACAGTCTCAAAACAAAAAGCACTTAAAAAAAAAAAAACTTTCTCAAAGTACTTTTTTTAACAGCTACATCACGTGTTTAACTTAAATACTCACTCTACACCCTGCAACGCCTCTATAAGCTCGGTTTTCTGGTCTGGGGCCATTCTGGCAAACACCGTCCCTTGAAGCACCAGCTACGAGGCAGAACACATTATCAGAACAGCACTTTCCAAATACAACAGTAGGAGCTGCACCAGTTAGGAGTTATATCCACGCTCATAGAAGAGAGACCTCATACCTTTTGAAGCATGTCAGGGAAATGCTCCGAGATTATAGCGAATGATTTCCCATTCATTGCAAAGTGGTACAGTTCTTGTGCTTTGGGTTCATCCTCATGACACACGTCCTCTAGGCTGATGTTCACTTCCTATCAAGAAAGGAGAATTACTGTTTGTTTATGTATGTGTCTGTACAAGTATTCTTGTCAGAGTCAGTCGCATCGCTTCACCTCCAGGCGAGACGTCTTTATCGGCTTGTCAGCGTATCTCCAGGTGATCTTGGCGGTCTGCCCGTCATGGGGAGGATGGGCATCAGCAATGATGACCATGTCCTGGGGTGGGATCATTCCACAGTCACGAGCCACTGAAATTGCTGTCAGCATATTGTCACCTGGAATGTGGTCAAACCATCGAGATTAAATAAAGAATACCCACAAGGGTAAACTGATTTATAAATAGACTTTTTTTTCATTCTCTGCCTCACTATCTTCTCTGCCTATCCCACAAGTGGAGATTTTACCAGCCTGTGACTGATGGTTGGATGGTGAATGAAAACAGAGGCCCATAGTCCTGGGGCACATTATTACCACAAGGGGTCACTCTATCAAATGAGTTTAAGGGATGATGACATTTAGTGAGTTTGCAAGAAACTGGTAAGAGAAAGAAAGCCTGAGACAGAAATAGCATCTACTGTGTGTAGATCATCAATCAAGCATAAATTATAAATTACATTTCTGCTTTGATGTCATTTTGTCTGCAGCAAGCTTACAGTGGAAAATAAAAGGAAAGCAAAGGCAAACAGAGGATTGTCTGGTAGACATTTGAGTTTGTGTGTTGCACTGTGCAGCCTAGAAATGTTGTGAGTTGAGATTATGCGTACAGCTGAGTAAATACCAGTGACTAAACGGAATGTCAAAACCACGGATAATCGAATTTACTGTGCTGCTTGTGTGAAAGCAACTCAAGAGGTTTAACCAGCTACAGGGAGTAATGTAATGATTGTGTGTATTTGTATTCTATGTTCGGTCCTTGAGCCTGCCTAATCCATCTTTATTTATAGTATGTGGTTTTTGCAAGCTTATTTTCACATTTAAGACTTTTATGATGCACAGTTTAAGGTTGTGTGGGTGTGAATGTTTTTATGTGCAGTGTGTGTGTGCCCTCACCAGTAACCATGACTGTGCGGATGTTGGCTTGGTACAGGTCCTGCAGAACACCTGGAGTTTCTGCCTTCAGCTTGTTCTGCATGATGATCAGACCCAGGAAATCCATGTTCGTCTCTATGTGATCCCTGTTTTAAATGAAGACACAAACACTTTAGTACTTAGAATCCCAAAACGTGTTTAGTACTGCTCTCAATAAATCATTGCTGATATTAACACTACAGATTTTGCTTGACAAAGGGACCCGTTCAGGACCTTTTTATTTAACTCACTGAGCACTCTCAGCTCTTCATGGATTCCACCTAGATGTTGTACATATTTCATTGAAATTTTGTTCCCTGTTGACAAGATAGAATTAAATAATTTCTTTCCATTTGTGCTGCTTATCTCACGTTCTTATCTCCAGTTTGAGACATGGTGGACTGTCATTTTGGCAGTTGCCATTGGATGATGTTAAATTGTGGCCATGAAGGGATCAACATGGACAGTACACACAATAGGTTATAACATTCAAACCATATTTAATAGTAAAGGTTACCTGTTAACATTCTGAACTTTGTGCCAGGTAAGTTTGGATTCCAATCGACGGTGTGCCAGAGCAATGACCCTGAAACCCTGCATCGTGTAGCCTTCTAAAACCTCTGCAAAGTTATCTGGCACTGCAAAGAGAGAAAGAGACAGCAGAGAGATACATAAAGTCAGAGAGGCAAAAAAGCAAGAAAAGAAAACAAAGTTATGAGGCTTTTGTGATGCAACTGATTTTCATTTAATTCATTTTCCATCATTGTACAGGTAGTGTACTGTATGTGCTAAAAGCCTTAAAACATAAAATAAAAATGTAAAGCATTTCCTACATTTCCACAGCAGACCGTGCACACCTCACCTGTGTCTCTCTTGCAGAGACCAGCCACCACCTCTGGCGCCCCCTTTGTGTAGGCATCCATACGTTTCTCCCCCAGCAGACGAGCTACCACAGTCATTCTCTGGAGAGCTGATGAAAAAGGAAACTGGCGCACAATACCGATCTCATACACAGACTGCACGCACACGCACACACACACACACACACACACACACACAAACACACGATTGCTGACTCAGTTCCGCATCAGGCTGACAGTGCAAACGGAACAAGGCAGGGAGTAGAGAATGTGTGAAAGCGTATTGTGCGTATTGGAGAAAATGGGAAACTGAAAAAAATCTATATGTATGTCATATATAATGCTCATTTAATTGACATAGAATTGAAACATAACTATCATGACAATACAAACTGTTAATTCTCAATATTCTAGTTTTTTTCAGAGATCTGTGTTGTTCAAGATGAGATTCAAAACTACACTTTCAAAGAGGAAGCAGATTTCTTACCGAGAGCTCATAGAGTTCCTAGAAAGAGAAAAAGAACAGAGAGGTATGTTGGTAAAAGCACAACATAATTGTTGTTGCTACTGTATACTGAAATGATAGTGTCGATATGTTCCATGATAGCCCATATACTGTGAATTTAAGCTTTAATCAAATTGAATTAGCCGATAAAATAAAACAAGTCATAAAATGTAAATCTCAATCACACTCCTCTGATACTTAACTATAAAATTAGATTTGAATCAATTTCACGTTCATTACAATCTTTAAATTAACAGATCAATATGATTTCACCATCTCTCCAAGAGTTCTAACTTAAGGAATATTTGGGTTGCTGCACATACCATGTCTTGTTCTTGTGACATTGCAGGCTCTTGAGGCAACAGCTGCTTTGGGGGTCGAACTACAGTGGGCATGATACGGTTGTGGAGCGAGGTTTCCTCCTCAGTGGCCTCCTCCAGGATCTGGGTAGACAAAGAAAAAAATGTGATCAGAAAAATGTAGTAAAAAAACAAACAAGAATGGGTCAAAATATTTGTTAAAATAATATCTTCTTCTGTCTATCACACACAGGTAGCCTACACGTAAAATTAGCAATGGCTGTTGGTCCCCATATATTTTATTCAGGGTGGTCTGGCCTTATCACATTCCCACAGTCCTTCCCTCACCAACTTTAAGTTCATGGATAGACACAAAACAACTCACCCAGCCAGTAGCCTCAAACATTTTGAGGTCCAGTGGGTCCCCGGACAGCTGGCCCTCTATTTTTGTGAGGGAGTGGCAGGTGGCCATGCAAGCCACAAACTGGGACTTGACAAGATTCTCCTTGTAGGCATTTTCCTCCGACAGGTGGAAACTGGACGGGCAGGAGTGGTAGGTGCAATTCAGCAATGCAGCCTGAATTGTAATGAAACAGTGGTAGTTTCATGTTCGCTTAATTAAGAGTACAGGTCAGCTTACCTGCCATTCTCAACTCTCTGGACACCCCACAGGTCTAATCCATCTTCCGTTAGAGTTCCAGTCTATAAGAAGAAATGAAGCAGAATTGATGAGCTGTGCAGTACCACACAACCAGTCACAGGTGGAATTCATCTGAGCAACAATAACAGTTTTAGTTAATTTATTTCATATGGCACGATATATCTACCAAATATAAACATCAAAAATATCGCTCCAAATCCTTTGTTAATCTATATGTATTGTGCATTTGTGTATATTTTGTTTATCAACAGATGTGCAATTTCTTGCTGTCAAAAGGAATAAAAGGTCATTCATTTAAACAACTGCGAAAACACAGCAGTCATACAACTTCTCATGCTCACCTTGTCGAAGCAGACCAGATTGATTTGCCCACAGATGTTGATCCTCTGTGGGCTGATGCAGAAAATGCCAATTTGTTTGAGGCGTCGCTGGGCATACACAATTCCAGCAGTCATGGCAGCTGGCAGCGCCGGTGGCACAGTGATGGTAATGATGTCTAGGGACTCAATGATGATGGTCTTAGCTGGCACCTAGAGCAGGCAAAAAGAGAAAGTCTTTAAACTTCTTCATGTCTGATTATCCCCATGTCTTTGATTATCACCTCTCAAGGTAAAAATCAGGTAGAGATTCACAGTTCACTCCCATTCATTGGCTAAAATCCTGGTTTTGGAGTCAAATATGTGACATTTCCAAACATAAGCTGCAGAAAATGACTTAATGCCTGAACAGTGTGAAACACAAGGTTTCTCTTGAATACGTTTCATCTCTGATTATTAATGTTGACATTAAATCCAAAGAAATGTGATAATCCAACCAAAAGCCTCGAGTGTAATCTGAAGCCTTTAACAGTTAATTATATTCCATAGTATAATTTAAGATTTAGTTTTCTTACAGTTGCACTCTCATTCTCACCCTGTTTTACACTGCATTTGTTTAATGTGCTTGTCACCTCGTACATTACCTTGTTTATGATGCTGAGGACAATAGAGTAGATAAAGCCAATTCCAGCTACAGCCACCAGACACAACAGGAAGAGGTAGGCATCACGGTAAAGCTTGAAGTCGGTGGGTTTGGGATACAGGATGGAGCGCACCAGCTGTCCTTTGGCTGTGCTGAAACCTGAGAGGAAGAAGAGGACAAGTCTTTTATAAGTGGAACCTGCTTTTAATACTGGAATCAGGAGTTTGACAAATTCTGTGAGAACGCTCTCAGAAAGCTCCTAACTTTGCCTAAAATGTCCGAGCATGGAGTCGTAACTTATAGGACTGATTTTTGGGGAAATTCCCAGCAACTCTAAGCAACAGTGACACTTTTACATTAATGGGGGGGTGGTTGTTCCTGTTAATAAAATGTAATGCTCTCGTACTGAGCAGCCTTAGTGCTATATATATAGACTATATGTATCAGGTAACTCAATTGAGTACCGCTTCACTCTATGAATAAAGCCTCTGAACTAAAGTCTAAAGATTACATCAGAGATGCTTTTCCCATAAAGTGAGTTGGATTCCTTCAAACTCACTCACAATGTACCAGTTTTTATACATATAGCATCAAAGACATTAACAACAAATTAACACAACATCTTCACATCAAAACACATTTAATAACACACCTACCTGTGCGGACCACCACAGCCTTGACCATTTCACCAGTGTAGAAGCGGGTCTGGATGACATGGGTGCCACAGAAGAGTGTGTGTCTCTTATGGTCCTCTGTGTTGTAGGCACTGTCAGCCTCCCCCCTCATCTCTTCTGGCCCTGGGTTTGGGAGGTTGGTCTTTGTCACAGGAACGCTCTCACCTGACGGACAGTAGACCTATATCAAGACTGGCTTCTAGGGGGTTCACTTAAAAAGGATTTTTTGTTTTGGAGGCTCCTGTAGTTTTTTGTTAAATTTATCGACAAATATATAATCTATTCCAACAAATCTCATTCCAAAGTTATCAGACTTTAGATTTTCAGATATGTCCTCTAACCTGTGAGCATGCTTTCATTGACGATGCAGGTGCCGCTGATCAACACGGCATCACATGGCATGATGGTCCCATTGCTGGGAATGACCATCACATCACCAGGCACCAGATCAGTAGACAGAATCTCTTCGATATCTGCCAGGTAGGAGGGTACAATGGAGGAGTAGAGAAGGTAAATGTGTGCATTTGATACACAGGTGGAGAGCAAAGTGGGTAAAAATATATAGGAGAGACACTTGTGAGTGTGGCTAAAGTGTATAAAGGATCCAGCAGAAGCAGATGGTGGATCTGGGGGGTGGAGGAGTGAGGAAGGAGATATTTTGTGTCAGAGTCCAAGAGTCTTGTTCAGCACATATCTCATTACTCAGCCCCCTGAGGCAACAGTAGGAAAAAGGCATCACAAGCAGGGGCCAGGGCAATGAATGGATGCATAAAGAAAAATGTTGGTGTACCAACTCAGCAATGCTTCTGACAGATTCAGACTATGAGTTAAATATTCTTCTTTGTCCAACTCATGGAGGTAATCTTAATTAGCTGATAAGATACCTGATGAAACTGTCAAGGCGTATGCATCACCTCTGCAGACGCTATCACCCATTTTAAAATGCATGTAGCTATATAAAGGCACGTGCGAAACAATTAAAGAGTGCTTTTCATTGTGATAAACCCACTCTCACATACACACACTCTGACTCTGCGGTCTCCCCAAATAGTAGCCATCTGGAGGACAGCCAAAGGAGAGTGACTGTGCGACTGAGTCTGGTCCAGCACAGAAGCAGAAAAATGCCAACTGTTTGTAAAAGCACTCTTCAAAAAGGCTGGGAACCGAATAGAATAATACATGATACAAGCTACTATTACAATTTATGTATAGAGGCATTCATGAAAAACGGACACACAAAAAAAAAATTGACAAACCATTGTTGGCTCGGCATACAGACACACGGACAATACTGTGAGCTGCCACCATATCGTGAAGCATGACGTATTGCTGGAGAAGAAAAGACAAAGAAAAAAAGAGTGATGAAAAACTTCTCTATTCCCATGAGCACCTCTGTTAATGCAAAGGTGTTTTTGTCTGGGTTTGTGAGCTATGAAGCCAGGGGCAGCAGACCGTGTGAATATGAGCCTTTATGCTACTCTCAAAACCCTGGATCAGACACGAGTTGGGCAGCGAGTCATTCTGACATGGACTCTCACTGGTGCCGTCCCATTACAAACTTTGTTGCACCAGAGCAGTCAATAAAAGCAGTATAATAGGCTTGTAATATGTAAATGTAATATGCATTTAAGTCTGTTTGGTACTAGATATAATGTTTCATACAGTGGAGGTACACTTTTGCGGAAGCCAATGTAAGACAAAACTATACTGATGTCAATTATGTGACAGATAAGATGCATCTTGTTGGTATTATCAGTAAAATAATAACACGTTCCACATGCAGTCGTATTCCGGGTTTTAAAGGCTGTTTTACGAAACTTCTGGTGTATGAAGTTGACATTTTGGCCTATTGGTGCTTAAGTAAAGATTTGAGTCCCCTCTAGAAATCAGGCCATCATATCTCAATAGCTTTTGCTGTTTTAAATATTATTAAATAAAATCATCAAAAATTCATTTTAGAAAATCTAAATAACAATTGCATCCAAATTGTGAAGTATGAGGGGCTAATTGTTTAAAGTCTGAAGAAGATGAGAATCAGCAAATGGATCTAATTTCTCTTCCAATTTCACCTGGTTCTCCCTTGAATCTGCAGTATGATAAACAGATCTGGATTATTAAAGGATCTCAGCAGTTTGTGGCGCTCACCTTTTTGATGGTGTACACAGAGGTAGCTGTGGATATAACAGACATGAACACGATGGCCACAGCATAGTAGTAATACTCATCGGCACTCCACAGGATCACACTGAAGAGCTGGAAGATGTAGAAAGGGTTGAGGACCTGCAGGAGGAGACAGAGGGGAAAGATTAGTGCAGCAAATGCCAAAGTGACAGTTTAAAGATTGGAATTACAGATAAAGACAGACTGAGACATTCAGCTTGTTTTTTCAGTTTATAACCATAAACTAAGAAAAATCTAAAATGGCACTGGATTTATAAATCTTTTTATCTTTGATAATTAAAAAATAATTTAAACTATTGTTTGAACAGAACAGTCACTTCAGCCCTACATGAAAGTGCATTATAAAAAAGTGAAAACACATTTCTGCAAAATATATCACTGAATAAATAATTCAACTAAGGACACATACTATCATATTGTATCATTCATACAGTTATTTTTTCAAAGCTAGTATCAATTAGCAGCATACAGTCAGACATGCATGTCTGTTCTCCATTGTCCATATATTCTACATGCCACACACACTCATCATTAATATTTAACATAAAATGTCATTGATTGTAGTAATTAATAGTTGAGGCCACAAGTTTACAGGGTGTTTTCAAATAAGAGTTAAAGAAAATGCCAACTGGGTCTTACCTCTTTGATAAGCAGCTTGAAAACAGAAGGCACTTTCACTGCAATTTCATTCACTCCGAAGAACAGTCTCCTGACAAGTGGTGAGAGAGACATTCATTGGGTCAAGTGTTCTGATTTGTCTCCATAACAATGTCTCTGACAAAATGACTTATGTAAAAGATGCTTTTTGCCAAAATCCATTGAAGAGCATTAACTTAATTCTAGTTATTTACACTTTTTTTTTTTCTTCAATTTCACTCAGAAAGTGCGATACTACCCATTTTCTTTTCTTTTCTTGACAGTCAGTATGATGCTGGTCAGCGAAGGTAAATAACTACTACATGTGCGTAAAACTGCTTAACCAAATGTCACCCACATCTGAATTAGCAGAATCCACTGGGCTGTGTACCATTTAAATTCTCATATCTGGGGAGTTCCTGCATTTATATCTGGCCTAACCAATCCCTCAGGTAGTTACCTGTACTCCTGCTGGTTCCTGGTCAGGCCTGCACTGTGCTCCGAGTGGAGGGCGGAGCAGCTGATCTGTAAATCCTCCAGGCCACTGTGGCAAGAAAAGTTGGTCAAAGTACAAGAAAAAGTGGACACTTTCAATCACACATAACAGTGCTAATAATGCAAGTCAAACTATTTATACAGCTGTTTCATCTTTATATTGTTCCCTCTGCTGATATCATTATGGCAGAGTATTATTGTAAGCATGCTTCCAAATAAAACCCTTTGCCAGAAACTTGGTATAAAACAAAGGCAATAACATTTCTGTAAGTGATTAAAGAATTCTTACCTTAAATCTTGAAAGTTCTGCAGCTCGTCATTCCAATAATACGTTGTGCTATGGAAGGTAAAATAGCGAATCTGAGGGATGCAGAGATGAGAGGGGCAGAAGGAATGATTTTCTTTTGATGCATGTTTTCAGCAATGTTGTCAATACAATTCAAAGCAAATTTAAAAGGAAAACTAATAAGAAAAGTAATTAGAGAAAGTGCAATTTCCCATTCAATTATGTCAGTGTAAATATTTCAGTGGAGGTAATTGCATAGTAATTAAGCAATTGTAAACCAAGTAGAGTTAGGTTTACTGCTTGGTAATGGAAAGCATGTGGTCAATGTAGAGTAGCCACAAGAACAGCAAGTCATAGGATGGCATGTGTCTCGGTCTACGACAGAAAGAGGAACGCCAGGGCAGCATTCTGTATTATGTAATGGGCCAGGGTCCAAAACTTTGAGACCACTTACTCTTTAACTTCTTTAGTAGAAGTGTTCTCAGAATTTTGAATCTGTGTTTACTTTAAGACTTTGTTTTTTTCCCATCACAACATAAATATGAAGTATAAAACGTCAAAACCATTCTGTCAACTGTAGAAACCTACTGATTGATGGTTGCCATCATTGATGTGTATGTGTGTAAATACAGTACATTGCGGAGAAGGGCACCTACTTGTGTGGGCTGGTATTCTGCAAATCTTCTGATGAGCTCCTGAGCAGGGCTGCCATCGGAGGGGTGAGTGGTGTGTCCGTTGGCTAGAGGGGGGGAGGCTGGGGAGGAGAAGGGGCAGGAAGGAGAGGAAGGGGAGCAGGGGGAGGTGGTCTGGGTCTCCAGGCTGTGGAAGGGGTTACTCCCCGGGGCCAGCATCACTCGCACCCTGGCCAGGAACCAGCGCCGAAACTCATCCTGGTGAAACAAAAACATGAAGAAAGTGAAACAACTGAACTTAAGGTCCCTTCATTCATCCCACACACTATAAATAGAGATGATTATAAACATTGTGATGGCAGTAATGTTCAATGCCACAGGCAAGAGACTGGAAAGTGAAAAGTTTGTGATGTTAGCTTACACCTGCAATAAGCTTCACTTACTGAACTCTGCATGATAGAGAGATCTTCAAACTACTGAAAGCCATGTTATCACACTGCATTGTATTTTTTGACACATACCAATTTACTCTACACTCTGTGACAGTCAGTGTGCATTTCCCTTTATTCTCCTGACAAAACATTGTATTTTACCAATACATAAAACAGCACACCAAAAACATATGAATGAAAACTTAGAAACAAAATTTGCAAAAAAAACGTCTTGTTTATTAACAGACAAGATGTAATATATAGTTTCACATGGCCCGAATATAATCCACATTCAAATTCATACGTCTGTCACCCATCACTCACAATGACAATTTAAATGTAATCAATAACTAGAATGAGATACACAGATTCATATACACATAACTTATTTACTGCTTATGATTACTGTGCTGCAACAATACATCAGTTGTATTCACAGACAGCTTTAAGAGCATATGAGCTTGAGGGTTTTATCTTCTGCATATATCTAACTACCAAGTTACGCCTGACAGCATTTGGACATGACATCCCTGCAGTTAACTGGATAATTTAAAAAATGAATCATGAGTGTTGTTTTTTGTAAACTACAATCTAGAAAAAAGGGTTAGGGTAGTAAATTAAGTTATATTCACCATCCTGTGTCCTGTATCCTCTGACATGGGCAACAGCTTAACCCTTTATTCTTTGGTCCACAAACTACAGTGGACGATAAATCTTAATTCTTCAACTGTGTTTACTTTACCATCCAGTTATTTTTCTTGGCTTTCAGAGGCTCAACATAAGATGTAGCACCCTCTAATTTTGAAACAAATTCCAAATATAATAATTTCACACCTTAGTGCTGCACTAATATAAAATAGTTTTAGTTATCTTACAATTATTATCTTTAGTAATTGTTGTTCACAAATTGTGAACAGTAATGTTTTTAGTTTGTATTTGTTGTTTAACCCCCCCAAAAAATCTAATGATCTTCAATTTACTGTCACTCATAAAATTTGACATTTGATCATCATCATAGCTCATATTTGATATGTATTACTGGAAAATTACTAAAAGATAAATCGATTAGCAGGTAGCTACAGATTCATTTTGTTAATTATTGCATGTGTTTACATGTTACCTACCACGGAGCGCAGCAACACCACTTCAGCATCACGGGCTGTGGTACGGGTGCAGGTGGATTTGACGCACCACTCTGGCATCCAGTAGAGAAGCAGGAGGAGCAAGCCCCCTGTGCAAAACACCCCGAGGCCCACTAGGACCAGCCGCCAGCGACAGAAACGGTAGCCTTGCAGCTCCTAAAATGTGTAACAAGAAAACATGGTGCAGTTTGATGAGTGTGAGAGCAAGACCTCCTGCATTGGACGGATGTAAAATTACAGTACCATCTCCTCCTCCTCGCCCTTGTTGAGGACCTTCAGGTCTTCCTTCTCCATGCTGCCAAACAGTGTGCAAAGCCCCTTCCTTAGTCACTGTAAATACAACAGACAAAATGTCAGTGTGAACTGTGGAAAAATATTTCAGCTCTGTCACAGCCTATCAAAACAGTGGCTCAACACCAGAGGGTCACACACCCTAGCGGGGGTCACAAGATGTTTTCTAGGGATATTGTGCAGAAGAGTTACGTGTGGAAAATGCTGTGTATTTGTCATTAATGCATTAATCTCATTTTTGTAAGCTTCCTCTATTACATAATGATGAGAAAAGGCCTAGAAGGGGAAAAACACAGGTCATTTACTGTTTTCATTTCCTGTATTTCTGTGGTTGCAAAATCATGCATCCACTCTTCAAGGATGGGGTTTATAAACTGAGAAGGATTTGGAACTGTTACTGTGCAGCCAGTTAATATTTAATCTGGTATCAAAACCTATTGGTACGGTGGTGGTGCAGAACCAAAGGGGCAACTCAGGAGGTACGGGTAACCCCTCAAATCTGATTAACCAACCTTGGTCCTACTCCAACACATCATTCTATGTTTAACACTAAAAATACCAGAATTCAACTATTTGTAACAAAGTAAATTCTCTGAAAGTTGTTTAAAAGTGATAATAGATAAAAATAATTTAAATAGTTGGCTGAAAGTAGTTGACTGGTTAAGTTAAAGTATCAAAGTAATAGATAAATAGTTCAGTAGAAATTTCTGATAAATAGTGCAAATAATAAATGGTTGAAGTATATCGTAAGTAATATAGTGTCTAAATCAAGGAAGAAACTTTAAATGGTCAGCTAAAGGCAATAATGGATAAATGGTGGTTAAATGAGGGATTTGGGAAGGAGTGTGACATAATTACAAAGCATCTGTGCTAGACAAATCTTTAGGAGGGAGGGTCTTTTCGGCTCCAGAATCCCCTGAAGTGGAGGCTGAGAAGCTTGGTGGTCCACAGCAGTGTCAGTTAGAGACAATGGCTGCAGATGTCTCTTTATTGGTCTTGTGATGCAGACATTGGCTATGCATGCAATGTGAAATGTTCAATAGTGCATGGATTTCAATGAGGAACTGTGTGAGAGTACATATGATTTTCTTAACTGGTGAAATCCTTTGGACATAGAGTGAACTCTTCAACTGTTTATTGGGAAAATGCATAAGGCAGATATAACTGTGGGTACAAAGTACATTAAAGTTAACAGAGGTCAGTAATTCACTGAAGACCACAGATAAACACCAACTATGAAAATGTAGCGCCCTTCTTAGATAGCTGCATGACTCAGAACACCTGAGACTATCTCTTAACACTCCCGCACACAAAACAACAGAGTCATCAGATATGTGTTACCCAGTATCAAGCTTGACCCTCTTTCCTCCCCTCAGTTGTCCCAGAGGAGCAGCGAGCTGCCAAGGAAGGTACACTGTCAATGTGTTTGTGAGTGTATCTGAATTCTGATATTGACAGAGAGGGGCATCTGGGTCAAAAACGAGCAGGCCCTTAAAAATGCCACAATCTGTCTATTAGGCTAAAAGAAAAAATAAGCTTCAGCAGGTTATTTTGTATTTTTGTGCATCATGCACTGCAAAGAGACAAACATCGAAGCTGACTGTTTAGAGTCAAACTGTGAGTAGGAAAAAAGACCTTAATTGGGCTAATGGCTTTAGTTGCAGTTGGTAATCAATTTGTCAATCATGTATAATCAGCATTTCACCGGGGATTTTGGGGGAACTGGTGACAACCCATAATGCCCTGCAATTATGCCATCAAGTTCTTGAGGGATAAAGGCACAAGCCAAAACATTGGTGGAGAAGCTTTGTCACGGCAATTCCAATCATGCCACAAAAAAACTTAAGGAAGTAACAAATTAGAGATGGACAGTAATGTCTGGCGTCTTTGTTTACAAGATGGATTCGCTTGAAACCACATCCAGGCGAGGGCAGGACAAAACTTGCTTCTGTGTCCGTGTGTTTTGTAACACTACAGCTTGGTACATTAGCAGCCACACACTGTGCTACTGTTGTACATCATATCATGAGTTATGTTGAGTTCAGGTAACATGCTGCACTTTCACAGAATGAACCTAAAAAGTACTGAAAACTAATCAGTACCTCTCGCCTCTATGCATAACACTTACACTTCATAACTACGGGAGCTAAAATTGGGTAAAAATGAATGACATTGGCAGAGGGGGAAGAGGAGCCACACAAAAAGAGTGGAGGATTTCTTATTAAAAACTGCACAGCCTGTACAAGGTAGTGTCCATGCCAACACACATTACATTGGATAATGTGTGCAAAAAGACAAAATACATATGCTAATGATCAAATTAATTTGCAAAGCTATCCCATGCAATACATTATTTAAGTCATTCAACTACACAGTCCTCAATTGAATAATTCATCTACAAATTGAAACACAAAAATACACATTAGATTGTCTCCTGAAGACTAATTACTGCCACATTTTCCACAGACCTTCTGTTTGATTGAATGCTTTGTCATTTAGAGCTTAGCATATATTTGAGTCAAAGGTGACTGTAGTTGAACTGTGCCTTGATGTTTAGTATGGTGAGTACAAACTTCTCTAATGCATCTTTTCAGGAGAATGCAGCCACAATCTCAATTGTATGTAATGGGCTACCCCTGTGCCGTGTTGTAACTGTGTCTTTAGTATGAAGGCCCACTTACGCTCAGGAATATGATTCAGAGATTGCATAAAAAGAGACAGACATGCACACAGACACAAAAACATGTAATTGAGTTACACAAGCACAGGGAGAATTAGAGAACCCTGCACTGGCATGGTGTGACAAAGTAATGTGCCTATAGGGTCACCCTGCTACTGCCCCCGCCAACCTACAAGACTCACCGATCCTTATCACGGCCCCCCGCACGTCGATCTTATCAGCCAGCTGCACCCGGCTGGACTTTTTCTCTGGCATACAGCGGGATATTTTGCTTAGGACCAAGCCCTTCCTTGTATTTTACAATAGCAGGCGCGAGGCAGTGGGTGCAGTGCAACAAGAACATTCCCTTCCCAGTCTCTGCAATGACTGGAAATGCCGACACCAGGGCATAATGGACATGCTCTTTCACAAAATTGCTGGTGGTGGTATGGTGACTCAGAAACAACACATCCATATAAGACTGCACCGATGAGCAACTGATGAGTATCAAACTTAAATGGTTTTTGAAACCAGAGAATGAGAAGGTAACGTAGTATGTTATGTTTGAGTTATCTCTTCAGATAACAGCAGGGTAACCTCAGAAAACACAAAGACTTCTATAATTACAGGCTCCAAACAGCCAAACAGAACAAAGTTAACAGTTTCAAGCTAAATTAAAATTGAATCAGCCCTAGAATCAGTAGCAGTAGTTCATTAGTAATTATAGCAAGACTGGTTTCTGGGCCGGGCACAGAATACTGATTGCTGCCCATTATTGTGGGCGGTAGTTCTACAGCAGGGTCAAGCTGAGGAAGACTGTCAGAATTAAAGCAATATGCTGGATGAGATTTGAAATCAAAGTTTAGCATACTTTATGTCAGGATGCAAGCCTTTAGATCCATGGAGATCATGTGTCGTCCAGAAGCAGCCATCCAAATATTACTTTGTTTTATAACCCATACAGTAAAATAACACAGGATCCCAAAAATCAATATAGAAAATAAGAAAAGCTAAGTTATATCTGCATCATTAAATAAACAATATTATCTAGAGTAAACCGTTATCTAATAAATATAAATAGATTGTTGGTTCTAAGTCTTACAAAATTACTTCACATAGCTCATTTGCAGCACTGTCAGCTCAGTTGATTCACTGACTGGGTGTGAAGCTATTTGAGGGACTTCTCTGGATGAGAAACTGAGGATGGTGATCTGGCCAAACAGGACATAAACTGAACTACTGAATCACTTTAGTGTCTATGTGAACAAAGCACAATTAGCTGATGCGCAATCAGAGCCCAAAGCAGAGAGGACAGACAAGAGTTGGATAAGCTTCTTGGTAGTTTCATGCATTTACCATTGGGTTGCTTTTTCACATTTCAATATTCTCTGCAATTCAGTCAGTAATAAGAATTCACTCTTCTAGGCTGCATTTTGTCATAAATCTAACAGCGTTAAACAAGAAAAGTTTCTAGTTACCTTGAGAACCAGGGACAGGATGCCCCAGGCGGTCCTCCACCCCGTAGTTAGCTTGCTCTATCACCACACCAACCTGGAACCCTGGGGGGGGAGACAGTTCATTGTAAACAGTGAGCATAAAATAGCTTTCCAGAATAGTCTTTCAAGCCTATTAACTAATTTGACGATGATAATGCTGTAGGCAAACAGGGGGAGACAGTAACATACTGTATTATCATCAAGAATATTGAGGATTCTTCTTAAAGTTGAAAAACTATATAAATGAGTTAACTGTCTGAGGCAAATAAGTTCAACACTAAACTGTCAGCATTAAGGAATACCCTAAAAGAGAGTAAAAATCCTAAGACCATGCCCTGATGAATATCCTCATTTTAGGACAGAATTACTAGAGGGTTAGTGAAATCCTATCCTCCAAGTTCAGATTCATATATTCCTGTTCCCACCAGCTTCTGTGGACTCCATCTGCTGCTAATCCTGTTTCTTTTACGGTTCATTGCCAGAAATTATTTCCTCCAGATCGGACCACAAAGATTTAGTCCACATTTTCTAACCTTGAGGCCAAAATAATATTTTGCAGGTTTATCTCTGATGTAGTCATTGAAAAGTTGGGCAAAGATTTTTAAGGTAAGTTATGTAAATAGAGGGAGTATAGGAGAAATCAATATTCAAACTGCATACTTTACTACATAAAGGACCATATTTGGTGCCTGTAGGGGTCAGTTTGACTTCAGAGATATTTATAGATTCCAAACCCAGCCTAAAGCCACATTGTTGTCTCACATTTGATTAGTCTTCTATTGTAGCAATAAACAATGTGGGCCTGGGGGAAAAAAAAAACACAAACAGAAAAAAAACCATGAGGCAGCTGTTGATAATTTTTTCAAAAAAGAAAAAAAATTATGTGAATCAAATTATAATATACGTAGAGCCCAGAATAGCTATTCAAATCCAAAAATGTAATCGAGATCTGGTTTTAGAATCTAGCACAGCTTTTTATACAGCCTAACGGAACAAATTTCAGGTAATCATCTCAAGCATTCTGACCCTCCAAAGCATCAGCTGCTTTCTGACTACTACAGGTAATACATTCAGTAACACAAGCAAATGTACCTTTATCAATTGTGTGATTTGCAAAAGTTAAGATTGTACAACCGTGAGCCTAGGGTAAAATTAACCATTCTTTTCACCCAGAGTAAAAGAATCCCTGTGGCCGACTTAAGAGTGAAGCCGAGCCACTCAAATCAGCCATTTGTACAGTATATAGCAAAGCAAAAGTATACAAACAATTAACTTAAAGGAAGCAAATACTAGACATGTTCTCCTTTCCCTTTCTGTCCTGGTCTTCAACACAGACAAAAGGGAAAAAGAGAACAATGAGCCATGACCTAATGACAGAGGTCTATAATTCATGGAAGCATTAAGAGGAAAAAGTGTTTTGTTGCCATCATGCTCTGCACTCAATGTCCTTTCTTTATCACTTCCCCTCCTACTCATGAGGTATTATAGCCAAGCTTTGTTCCCCGTAATGGACCGATCAAGTTTTTAATAACTGTTTATCACTTACTAAGAAAATCTTTGACCAACTGCCCTTCCGCTGCTGTCTGAACATCTAAAACACTTCCCTAGCCATCACACACAAACTTGTTTAGTTTTTTACCCTATGGAAAAATGGGTCAACTTGAGGTTACTTCGGTAACCCCTGTTCTTGGAGTAGTATGAGTGATGTGTCTCGTGGGAAACGCCCCTAAATATTCACAAATGCACTTTTACCTTTGAGCCCTCAGTGGCTGGCAGTCATGAGCAAATGTGAGGGGCAACTACCAGCCAGCTGCAGAGCAGATACCCTAGATACACACATGACCCAATTATCTGTCGAAAATGCCTTACTCCCGTTGATCAAGTCCTACAGAAAGGAACATTGGAGTAACTGAGAAATTGAAAGGGAATTTCCGTCGGAATTTCCCTCGCACACCATTCTTAAAATGCTCTCCACTTACACTCACAAAGAGACATAGTGGATGATTCCCTGATAATCTGAATAGTATTAATAACCCCCCACAAGAGCAAAGAAGTTTTTAAACTAAGAGACTCACAGACCAAGACAGACCAAGTCACTGTGAGTGGAGGCACAATATCTTTCTGTGCGCCTCAGAGAGAAGATCCCTGTGCAGCAGGAGGAGCCATGGGCAACTGCAGGGAGGTTCATCCACCATCTAGTACATGAACAGCCAGTAAAGAGCTATTGGAGTCAGGGACAAATTGTTCATCTAAACTTGGAGCAGTGTCAGATAAATCAGGGCAAGTGAAGGAAATGCATACAGTAGGGCATGAGGCCACTCATGCACAAATACTTCTACCCCCAGTGGCATGCTCTGATGGTGCAAGGGGAAAAAAAGGAAACTGCATTATCTCTCCTGACACAAACAGTTCTGCTGCTGAGGCACCAAATGGTTTTCAACCTGCCCCACTACACCTGTGAGCATCCTCCACCGTGTGTAAAGGGGAATCCCCCAAGAAAGCAGGTCTGCCCCATAATTCTGGTAACAAGGGATACGCGTCAACTTCATTGTGATGAAAAGCGAAACACTGAACATGAGCGCAACCATGAGATAACATAGTGGCATGAGACACTCCTGCTGGTTGATGCAGAAATAATGTTAACAGCAACACTTAAATGCTTCAGAATAAAAGTACCAGTGGTTCCACGTTGATAGATTTATTATATATATATATATATATATATATATATTTATATTAAAACTTATAAATTTACCAGCAGTTTATATAAGTTTATGGCAACTTTACCCCATAGGGGAGTCTATGTCTATATCGAACTATGGACGATTGCCCTCTTAATCCTGAAGACAAAGTTTTTGTTGGCATGGCTTTAAGACAGAGCCTAGGGGCTCTGTAGCAATGATGCTGCTGAAAAACATTAATGAGACATGGTCATACATAATTGAATAAATTGGATCGTAATTACAAGGTAAAACAAATTTGACATTGCATTTATATTTGATAGATTTTCATTAAGTCTCACAAATTCTTTATGACAACCTTAAATGTTTCAACAGGAGCACATGTGCTCCTTGGAAAAAAAGGGTAAGGTATGACAACAAAATAAGAGTGAAAGGGCTGTGAAAAAAAATAATCTTACACATCAAAAGTGTACTGAGTTCAAAGTCACAGCACATGCTTTGGATTAACAGGGGCATTTCTTGACAGTCTGAAAACTGCTGATACCACAATGCAAGAGATTAGAACACAGATTTTTATAGAATGGCTTATTGGTGAATAATGACCCTGGCAGACACATAATATTCAACATAAATGAAACATGCTATCAAATTTTTGAGTTTCTATATTTCATGATAATTAGTTTAAATATATATAAAACAAAATTACAAATTTTTAAATCAATATTAATATTGCTCCATAATTGAATCTTAACAAATATCTCCTTTTCATCCCTTTCAATATTTTTTTTATATTAAACCTTCACATAACTGTCAAAACATGTTTGCTTTACTTGTCTTAGAAAAAAAAAAGTTAGAGAAAACTGTGAACTTTATCTGAAATTAAAAACTACTGCAGTTTCTGGATAGGGTTGATCTGAGAATTTCCTTAAAATCAGAGAGGGATCTTCAGTCAGCAATTAGTCCATCTGCAATGCTCACCATATTCATGTTGCACAACTGCGTTCTCAGGTTTGCATTACTGTGTTAAATTTTACAGTTGTTCGTATATTTACAATGAAAGTGTTCTCCACTCCACTGATGTGGGCTACTGGCTTGTCCTGATCTTGTTGGAGGCAAACCGCTATGCCGGCACTAGAAAGGTTTGTTTCTCTATCACACTGCACTTGGGCACTCACACTAAACAGTGCTGGGCCATGGAGAGGACTTTTACCATGTCAAGATATTTCTCATCTCCACTCTGAATCCACACTGACGGGCCTTCCCTCAGATCCTGCTGTTTTAAAGATCACCTGTGAGAAGTCTTGAGGTACTGGCCCAAAGGCCAATGGAATATTGGCACCTTACTTCTTAAACTGAGACTAAACCACCTCCAAATCTCCATTTTGACTTCAAGATCTCTCCCAGTGAACGAGACCTTCAAAGGTGAAAACACCAAGTTCAATTTCTTGAGTCCAGGAATGTGTATTAACAGCTACGTAACATGAATTAGGAAATGTTTCAAAGAAGCGACTTCATATCACATCTGAGTCCTGCTCAAAGGCTGCATAGCTTATGTGTGTGACTGAAGAACAAAATAATGTGTGTGCATGTAGATATCACTCCTCTATGCAAACTAGTCATCTCCTCAGCATCACATTGACATTACAGATAATTCATATTTATGCTACTCAATCAGGTTATTTTTAACTCATCCGTGTTGGCTTGATTACATGTTTCTCATCCTTTGAAAGCTCGAGTCTTTACAATACCTCAGTGTTTCTCACACAGAGGCCTTTACTTGAGCAGCCTGTCCAAGTGGATACCATCACTCTGTATCAACTTTGCTAGTGTGGGGAATGTCACCACAATGAGCGCATCAGTGTTAAATACGATTGGTTATTTTCAGACAACAACCAGGTGTGTTATGTATGCCAGTAGCCTAAATCCCTCACGCGGAATTAACTTGATTATACGATTAAGGCTTCCGTCTCCCACATGCAATAAATATATTACAGGTGCTACTGCACTAAATTCATAAACCAACCATTCAGAATGACACACAGTGTTCAGCCCTGAAGGCTTTTTACCATCTATTTGAAAATGAATCTCCACAAATGTATCTAAACCAAAATTAAACATGGATTTATAAAGTACTAATTAGTTTTTTTGTGACAAGCCTCAATCATGTCAAATATTATGGATTTAAAATTGAAACTACATGATATCAGAGCTTTCCACAAGGATACGGAGCAACAGGCCAAAGGTGAGCTGATCCAAACTTTATATTAAAATTTTGTCAAACTAACACAGGGATTCAGGAAGAGAGTAATTTCTCAATTTAAGGCCTATGACCTCCAGCAGTTGGGTGAATGGCCCTGGACCTATTTGAGGAAACAGTAATGAGTAGTCCGTCATTTAGCTGACAGCTGGCACTTATGGAAAGCACTGCTGAGTATATATAAAAAATATCTGCTGCTTTCTGCCCTCCCTGAAAGACATCTGTATCTCCCTGTGCCCCAGCAGGGCCAGGAAAATCACCACAGACAGCATTCAACCATTCACTCTCCCGAGCTCTGGAAGGAGGTACAGGAGCATTAAATCAAGGACAAACAGAATCAAAAATATTTTTTATCCATGGGCCATCAGATCACTGAACCACAATATTGACAGTTTACATGCTTTCTATACAAATTAATCTCAAGTGCAATACTCTTTTTTGTATTATTTATTGTTATATTCATTATTTGTGTCTGTGTTGAAGTATGTTGTTAGTTTTCTTCTTTTTTTTTTAATTTTGCACTAAGCAGCACTCAGAATTCTGTTGTATAATATTGTACAATGACAATAATGACTCTCTTTTCTTTCAAAAATATATAATATACATAATCTGGATAAAACCTATATCATAAAGATAGAAATAAGGAAGTGGTGAAGTACCAGTTTCCTCTTTATGGTCCCACACACAGCATGCAACATGCAAACATGGGGAAATTTGACCTCTGTATTTAACCCATCCGTGTGAACGGAGCACACACGAAACACACGGAACACAATCCACACAGTGACCACACACGGAACAGTGGGAAGCCATGAAGGCGCCCGGGGAGCAATTGGGGGGTTCGGTGAACTGGCACCTCTCCAACTTCCGTCCATGCTGGACTTGAACCGGCCACCATGCATTCCCAAGCCAAGCAGCTATGGACTGAGCTACTGCTCATTTAAGTACAATAAGGCGGATTGTGGGGGACACTTGAAATAAATGATCTAAGAAAATTCCAGAACTCAATCAGACATATAGTACCTCCATCTCAGGCAAAATGGTTATGTCTCTTGTGCCTCTACATAAGACCTGTGGTTAATTTGGCACATTTTCATTGCCGAGATTATGCAGCCATGACAGAAGACTTAATCACATTAAGCCTACTACCTGCTGTCCTTTAGATCGTTGAAAAGGCAGTCTTTCAGCAATTGAATGCTTTGCTGGCATAAACAAATTGTGTTTCATTTATCTACTCATATAAAAAGTGTACTTTATTATCTTCTTTTAAATGTTACTCCTATGTATATATATATATATATATGTACATGCATATGAAATCATAATTTTTTTTTTAACATCAATGAGTTTAACTACTTAAGTATCAAGTTAATTTATCTTTCTAAGACACCAGTTACTGGAACTAGACACCTCAATATTGATGCTACACTGTACATTTTTCGATCACCTCCTGTTTACTCATTGCTGGATAGCTTGCTTTTATTATGGATTCAAGCACATAATGGTCAGTGCAAGTTGTCTAATCGTAGGAGATGTGTATGGGCTGTGTGAGTCTCACAGCTTTCCATTTGAGAAAACATAGTGGCATCTACTGTGACCAAATATTAATAATGTTTCTGAAGGAGAAAGTCTCTGTCTGTATGCAAGAGCTGATGTTTTACTACATGTGTTTAAACTGCTGTTCTATAAACATAAAAACCAACACATGGCACAGGTTTCATTAAAGGATAACTGTGCTTTCTTAACCTGGACCTTATCTCATGTTGTGGGTGTAAATGACTGATAGAGACACAGGTCTTTGCAATAGCTCCACTACTGAGCAAACTACCTGCGACTGCGAGACAGAGCTGCGACATAATCCAACTGAGCATTTGTAAACAAAGTGAGTCCACAAATGTGCTTAATATTACCACAGACAGATTCAGATTGTTATCGTAAACACGTGGATCGTATTCCTAGACAGTTCATTCTTTTTGGAAGAGTACCAAGATTGTCTTTAACCAAGAACTGCCTTTAATTCGCAACATGCAGAGCCACCAGACTCCATTGACACATTCGCAGGTCTAAGGGTTTCATCAGGCCGTGTCTGATCATCATCTGAAAAGTATCACAAAGAGAGACACAAAGCACAAGAGCTCCTGGTGTTGGATTACACTGCAATACTGCTTCAGCGTTGCCAAACATACTGATCTTGCTCAAGGGTGGAAGTCAAGATTTCAAATATTTTCCAACTAGTAATCATTTACATTTAAAAGCAGGGTAACAAGTTTAAAGGAGAAACGTATGGGTTACCCTTTAAGCTGCCTTAACTAGAGACCAGTCCAGTGGGGCAGGTGTTTACAAGCAATGAAGCTGTCAGAGAGGAGGCGTGTTTACGATTTACAGCCTCTAAAATTACAGGATTTCATTGTGATGACTTGAAATGTGTGAAATGTAGCTCCAATGATCCCAGCTGGCCAAAACAACTTCCCAATTATGCCATTAAGAGAACAAACACACGTTCACATCTGTGTGATGTGTAGCCAACGGCTATACGTTGTGAGATCATTTAGATTTACTCAGTGTTGTTGTTCTTTTGTTAGCTTATGTTAAAATACATCCACGCGGATGGCAGAATAGCTGACAGCTAGTCGTGGGTGCGAGTCCCGGGCAGCAGGATAGCGCTTCATCGGGAAGACGTTTGCTGGATGTTGGCTAGCAGGCTAACGCTAGCCTGGCTTCATTGTTAGCGTGCTACTCGGTCACTAGCTTCATAACAAAGTCCATGTGTCTCCCCGCGTTCGCGCAATCACTGCCAGACAGTGCGAATGGGAAAACGGCATTCGAACCGCAGTCTTGACCCGATTTCCCCGCACTTACCGAAGCAAGGAGGACGGTTGACTTCCGCACACACACACACACACTGGCATACACACATTCACACACACGCTTTTGCTAACGCTGCCGCTTTAGCTCCGCGGGGTAGCGACTGACACATGGGTGAGGATGACAGCCATGAAGGCGCATACACTCACCCAGAACCACCTGGTCACGCTGAAGATCACCTCCGAGTCATGGCAAGACGAGAGCGGCGGTTATCTGCGGGAAGACGTCGCTAAAGAGGACGGAGGACCGGGGTTTCGTGGGGAAAGGTTGCCGCAGCACACGGTCGGTAGGTCGGTCGGACGGGCGGAGAAGGAGCGGGGCGCCGCTGTGTGTTGACAGCTCAGCGGGACAGACTGAGAGCTACAGCGGCGGCGAACTGGCCCGAACTGGCTGCGTGACGGCAGGAAGTGACATGTGCTGAAATCACGGGAGCGAGAACACCGCCCACGACTCTCCCAGAGAATGTGCTTCATGTTGGGGGGGAGGTTTCTCACCTGGCGCTGCTGGGACATGATGCTGATACCGACAGCCATGATGCCTCGACAGATAATAATATGTGTTGCAGCAAGTATTGTATTTAAGTAGTATTTCATTTGTATGCTACTTTGTTCAGCTTCTCATGTATGACCTTGTGTAATATTTGAGAGCATGGCTATAGAGGAGCCTGTGACCCAAGTATTTCATTACCAAGACTGCTGCGTGTAATTGTTGTGCACATGATAAGTAAAGTCTGGAGTCTTGAATCTGCACCTCCTCCATGTTAGCAAACGGGACATAGACCAAATTAAAAAGTCCAACCGCCAATGATTGCAATGTGTATAAGTACAATTTCAAGGTACTCTTTACTGAGTATTTCTTTTTTATTCTACTTTGTTCTGCTACTCATGTATGACATACATGAGGTTTTGTTACTTAAAGAGGGCAGCTCATCTTTTACCTTTTTGCCAGGGCCTGATCCACCTGATCTATCGAGCCCATAGTTGACCAGTTTAGTAACTCACCAATATTTTCAGTACAAAAAACTAAACTTTACATTTATCAGACAGATGTACTTACTAAGTTTTCTTTTATCGAAATTGTGCCTTAAAAACCTATGATTTGGTTAAAATACAGTAAGTAACCAGAATGGCACTCAGTAGAGCACATTCCTCCGCCAAGACCGAGCAATACTACCCATGATTGAGTTCTCATAACAGAATTACTGTATAAAAGAAAAAAGTAAGTGGTCTGATAACCTGAATGACTCTTCCCAGGACCAGGCTCCATCCCTCCACTGGGTTTGGTGGAAACTGGTTTCTTAGTTTTTAGCGTCATCCTGCAAACAGATAAAGCAACAAACACACAAACAGACACTTGTGAAAGCATAACCTCCTTGTCCCGGGGCCCATAAACAGGATAATCCAATCATGCTAAATTAAGCAAATGTACAAACACTGTGAAGCAAACGTCATAGGTGCTGGTAGCTCTCTGGTGAGTTTGAACTGCACATACATAAAGTTTAGGGAGTTGCAAGGGAGACACCAGAAGTTTCGGTATCATTTTTTTCTTTCCCCATGACTAATTTTTCATAAACAGATCCACACATGTCTCTTGATGCAATCAAAGATATCACAGGCTGGGTGGTACCATTTGTGACAAGTAAAGTGAGTCAAATAACTATTCTTAAGAAACCAACAATGAACTATGATACAATTCTTAATTCAGTAACTACTGGTTAATCATCAATTCCTTGCTTATTCAGGATTTTGTATTGCCCCTCTCCCTTTCTCACAAACTTGCAAGGTGAACAAAATGTCCCACGGCCTCAAATCATCCACCATCTTCCATGTTCTCTGCAGTGGAGAGATCAATGACGCACGGGCCAAGAAAAACAGAAAGGCCCACTCCCCACTGCTGCTTCACATGTGCTAATCCTTGCTCTTGATCACTTCTGCAAACAGAATTCCACCTTTTATATGTGGGACACACTGTTTGTTTTCCTTTCAGCCAATCTCAGAAGAGACAGAGATGAGGCCCAGAGATGGAGCAATGCTAGCTCAGCATTTATCATAACTATAGATGACATTATTGGAGTGCAAACGCAATTTTATTTCTTGAGTTTATTCGATATATTAGGAAATACATCTTAAAAACAACTTCTCATGTTAGGTCTATTTTCAAGACGATTCTCTGGTTTAAGTTCCTGGGTGAACAACAGCCATTCGGGTAAATATAAAACAAAAAATAATGTTAGACATAGGATATATTGTTTACAAGATAAACTACAGTTAATCCTACAAGCTAGACCTCACCACGCTACACACATTGGATGGGTCGCTCTTTATCAGCAAGATTAAATTGGCCTATAAGCAGCAGGAGGCGCTGAGAGAGGCTCCTCATTGTCACAAAGAGATATTTTCTTAAAATCAGTAATCAATCAGATGTATGTTATAATAGAATGGTAGCTTATACCTCCCCTTAAATTCAAACAAGCTGCACCAAATTGCACCCACTTATCAGTCCCCTATGAATGACAGATTTGTTTCATTAAGATTCATGTATTCCCTTGGAAATCAGCAGAAATGTCAGAAAATACCCAAACTAACAATCCTAACAAAAGCTTAAAAAAAGGGTTTTTCCCCATTTACCATCATTACACCAAGTTTCATGGAAATCCTTTCAGTAGTTTTCGTGTTATCTTGCTGACAAACCCACAAACACACCAAACAGGTGAAAACATAACCTTGTTGAAGACATTTTTTCCTCTCATAAAGCGAGAAACATAAATTGTCTTCAGTTGCCAAGTTTGCTAGTTTTTAATTACAGTTTTCTAAGCAGTATTCATTTATCCTTCACTTAAATTGGTAGAACAATAACAAATTAAGATCTTATCTTCTCAGCATGTTGCTAGTGAAATTCTGTAAACAATATAATTGAATGATCTCCTAGTCCAATCTATTGAGTCGTGTTTACAGGAAAAACAAGGTGTTGAGTAACATGAGTGCAACTGCTGATATCAGCGATCGCTTTGTTACACTTCGTTAGTGGTTTCCCACTCATTTGTCTCAGAAAGACATGTCACTTGAGGAAATGTAACAGGGAGGAGGAAAACATGCTTCATAACTTTGCTCTAATCTGTGTATTGTTTGGTTTTCAGGCTTTGAGGAAGTCCCTTCAGTTAAAATGTCCTGGTTAGTTGTTCCTGCATCATGCTTTAAAGCCCCGGAGCAGCCAGATGGACAGAAGTCTGAGGGATGATGGAGAGGACGGACGAGCTCGGGCCGTCTAGTCTGGCTCTTATCTGCTCTGTCGGCCCTTTTCCTAGTCCAGCCCTGATAACCCAGTTCGACTTGCAAAATACAGGATATGACCCAATAACCTTGCAAGCCAGCGGGGGAGCAATATTGTTTTATTAGAGGAGGTCTTTTCCGTAAACCTCCTTAACAGATCTCAGTTGTCAGAGGGTCTGATAAATGCGGTCAGGACAGAGTTTCGACAGTCCTCTGAGAATTGGCCACAACTTCTAGACAAAGACACACAATGCATCTATAATAAAAAATTCACTGTTACCAGCCAAAAAACTCTCATGGTTATACTCTAATCATTGAGCAAAAACCAATAGGTTTTACATATCTGCAAAATTAAAAAGCTGTGTACAAAATAAGACAGACGACAGGTCCATTTCTGCAGATTTTATTCTCTTCTTGATCACTTTGTGGATCTTACACCCTCTTCTTTACTAGACAGAGTTTTCTTTAGGAGTCCAGACATGGCACAGGTGCAGATGGTGAAGGGTTTGGGGTTTGCTGGACACTGTTTGAGAGGGAACTCATCACCCTTCTGTTGTTTTACCGTTGGTCCTCTCCACTGAACATTTGCCTCTTCAAAATCCCACTGGAAAATATGGACATATCAAAATATTATTTGAATAATTGCAGCAGAAGTATTAAGAAATACACCATGTTTGTATATGGCGTCATCTTAGTAGCCAATATTAGCATACTTAATCTAACATGGAGACAATTGAAAAAAAGGTCTTTAAAGGCATAAAAGAGTTTTTGGTGAATTGACGGATGTCTAGCAGACACCATCTAACTCTTCTGCCTCATATTTATCTAGAATGACACTCAGAAGAGCGTATATATATCTGCCAAGGCACAATGGTTGAATAGTCAATACATTTCAAACACCAATAGAAATCAGTGCCCTAAATATGCCTGGTTTTCTTTCATCATGATCCATGAATTATTCCCTGGGAAAATGGCAAAGTTATCAAGAAATAAAGCTAAAATGTTAAAGAAAGTGATCAAATAATTCCTGGATCCGCCCTCTGGTCCGGATCTACATCAAAATGTATTGTATTTTTCCCAACATGCTCCCACCATGTTTTGCATAATTTTGCTTAAAAAAACAACCCATCGGATCATTCATTTTATTTTGGAAACACAAGACGATTGGGTTTAGCTGATGACCACATCAGCTAAACCCAGAATATGGAAGGTTAAGCAGTGTTCACACACGGTTAAATTCCAGTCCAGGAGCCATCACACAAGAAACTATAAACATTTCCCAGAATAGCAGAGGGTAGCACTGCCCCCCTATTGACGAGGCAAACATCTCGCACTACTTCCTAGGCAGACAGGCCCAGCCCGGTTTTTGGTCTTTAATCAAAGATCCTTTACAGCAGAACAATTGGGCCATAAGGCAAAACTCAAACAATTCCTCCCCTCGCTGTACCCCCTCGGTCAACCCACCTCCCCACCTCCGTCCACCACCCCCTGCCTCGGCCTCACCCAAACAAATAAGAACCGGCACTCAGCAGAAACGCTCACGGAACACATTGCACAATAGACAATTCAAGCTGCGGTGAGCCAAGTGAGCTCCAACTGCTGGGTTTAGACAGGCAGCACGCTCCAAAACGTAGTGCGGTTTTATCATGATCACTGATTATGGAGTTATTGTGAAAAGCAGGGACAAAAAAATGTAATTCATATTCTATGTAAACACTTCTTCCTTGCTGTCTCTACTTGCATTTTGCAGTTGAGGACATAAACACAATTTTCACTGACATCTAGAGTTCTGCGTATTGTGGATTATACATTAGACATGGAGTCAACTTGTAGGGAAACAACCTCTCTGTTAAATCACCAAGTAAACAGCTTCTGTTAATTCTAACTGGCAAGTAAAGAGAGTTCAGATGGAAGGGAGTAAAATATGACTTCTCCAGTTGTTAAATATTACAGATTTGGAGATCTGTTCAGTACTCCTCAGCAAAGAAGACCTGTTATTGTCAGATTCATCCTTATAAGATTCAAAGATTTTTATTGTCAAATATAATGTATATAATAATAATATATATTATAATGTTGTGTACTGATCTGAGCTGCTCCCAAAACAGTCCCAGTCCTGTTTGAGGAGGACAGATGTCCACCAGAATAGATTCAAACATGTAGACATGTAACACAGACATTTTGAATGCTTTTCTTAGCATCCTCTTACTCTTCTAACATACTAATTGTGCTGAAGGCATTCACATCATTTGCTGTTTCCTGTTAGGTGAACAGTATGAAGCTGCAATTGTTTGGGCTCACACCATTTGCCTGTGTTTCTGGTTAAATGACATCTTCCACAGCTTGGCTCTCAGAGGCAGCATAATGAGGGAGTTTCTCTTGTGGCTGTGAGCATCAGGGCCTGCATGAGAAAGTAAAAGCTTGTAATTTCATTGCGCTCGCAAACTCAAACTCGGCCTTTCAGAGCAGTGGAAGTTATATAAATGTGAATCGTCAAGGCCAATTTCGCTCTGTAGCCAATATTTAATTCTAGCAACAACTGTCCACTGAGGAACAAAGTTCAAATACGAACCCTGCTTCTCGTAAATGACAGGTCCATACATGTTTAGCCATAAACCTTCCTCCACACACGCGTATCACTTTATAGTTTGACTCATCAATGCTTTAAAAAAACATTGCTGACTGTTGTCCTCTTACAAGAAACTTGTCTGACTTACTTCCCTGAGCATCACGTGAAAAACAAAGCTTGGTTTCCTACAGCAAACACACACTGTCCTCACTGGTAGTTCTTCTGAGTTCAAGTCTTAAAAACTTGGACAGAGCAAACATTGATTCAGATAAGAAATTGCTATGGCACTGAAACTAAAATCTGCACCATTGTTGGCTTCACTGTTAACTCGCTGTCTCCACGTGTGTGTTCTCCTCATGAAGAGGCAGAGCCACATCTTGCTCTGTGACACTGTCGGGCCTCAGAGTTTACTAAAGTTTATTTTAAACCCATTGAAACACATTCATGTAGCACAGCAGCACATCGGTTCAGCATGAGTGGATCTAGAGAAATATTCATGGTTTGTCAAGAGGGGGGAGACTGTAAGAGGCAGCAGAAAAATCACTCTTATATCAATATTTGCTTGTAAAGGCCCAAAATTTAGATATTGAATCTCACTAGTGGCACATGTGAAAGAACAGATATGTCAAAAGGTGGCATTACATATAAATAAAAAGCTTTCTTTCCAAATATTACAATTTTCCTTTGAACATAAGCTTATCACTTATGTCAATTTAAATTTTTGTGTTTAAGTTTGTCTTTAAAAAAAGGCAATATTCAATTGGGACACTCACATTAGGTTCAGCCACACGTGTGGTCAAGATGTCCAGCTGATTAAACCATAAATAAGGTTCATTTTAAGATGATGATGGTGCAAATCCTCAGGTACTGAGCTTTGAAAGAACTGGAACTACATTGCTGACATGCGTCTGCAGAATGAGTGAAAAATGTCAATTTGTGTTCAATCAGGTTTAATGTGTCTCTCAATCACGTAATCCCGTGAGGGACGAACTTCACTATTGCTACAACCCTGCCACTCTCCATCTGCAGTCATATGGTATTTTACTGGTAGAAGTTGGAAAGCCTACACATACAATTAGCAGGAAAAAAAGAGACATCCTCATCCACAGAGGATGTCTGCAGCCGGGACCAGAAGAGGCTGCACAGAAAGCTGCTGGCTCCAAGAGAAACTGGAGGTTTCTGGAGAGAGTAAAATTACCCTGTGTCTATAATGAGGGATAAAATATGTTTTTGAACCTCGGTCAATACCACATCTCCTTCCCATCCTCACAAGCCAAGAAGTTGTGACAATAAAAGCTGTTTTCATTCCTTCACTCTATGGTTTGCTGACTGAATGCACTCAAAGTTGCAAACAGCTCCTGTTGTGTGATGGGTACAACCTCGAAGTCTACAGGGAGCGTCATCTCTTGCTGCATTCACTTGCACTCAGACATCACTGTTGCTGTTGTAAATTTCTGACTGCCACAACCTTCCATTTGTATTTTTACATTTGAATGTCCAAATGTGGGCTGGCAGCATTTTAGTTCCATTCCTGTCAAACATTTATTGGACAGCAGAGCACCCAACTTCCTCCTCTTCATGAACATATGTAACGATAACACCAGTTATATGAGCCGAAATAAAAAGACAATAAACTGAAATGACACAGGTCTTCAGAGCAGTTCACACAAGGTGACAGAACACACAATAACACAGCAGGCGAACATCTCTCACAGCAGCTTTGCACCATCTATTGTATCTGGATGGTGTCACCACCTAGTGGTACACTTTGAAAAGAGTCAGACTTCAGGATTTTTGTTTCTGATATTACTGATAAGACCAGTTTTCATTTTCTGTCTGCTTTCAGTACTCCAAAAATGCAAAGGCAAAGCGGACATGCAGGTGAAAACTTGTGGTCGGCTATAAAACGTTAAATATTACTTTAAGGCCTTACTGGTTCATAAAAAATCTGAGGGATTTATGGGGTTGTTAAAAGGCAAACATTTAGATTTATCATAGCAGGTAAAGCGTGGGTGTTAACAACAACAATGGCTCTTTTCCATTCAAGTGTCCCAGTAAGTCATGAAATACAAGGACTCTGAAACTGACACAGCTGAATTCAACCACCATTGATTGTATTGTGCAGCCAAACCTGTACAATACTGCTGTAAAATACCATGTATCAAAATAACCTCAGTTAAAAAGCCCAATAAATACTACTAACAATTATGCTTTGAGTACTTCTTGTGACATGAAACATTCCCCTTGTATTTCGTGGCTGATCAACTCCAGGCGTGGATCCAGGACTGGGGTCAGGGGACAGCTGAAATCTGGCTGGTCCTTAAAGTGCCCTTCTCTTTTTAAGAAAATGTAACACTGCTCCTGCCCCTCACCAGCACTGGTTAAATATTACCTACCTACACACCCAGAGTCAGAATCGGGTTGTATTGCCAAGTAGGTTTACACATACAAGGAATTTGCTGTTTTGGTTATGTAAGTGTTAAAATTCAAAAAATATATAAAAATAGGAAACTAAAAACTAAAAAATGGATGTTTAATTCTTTCTACTCACCTCCAGATCTGAGCTGACTGTTGAGGAGTCAAAAGACGTATCCGACAGGCAGAAACCGTCAACTCTGATCCCTCGCGCTGTCCCGTTGAGACATTTGTCCTCCGCCTCCTGCAAGCAAACCTGCAAACAGAAGAGTTTCCACTTAAGGTATTACACACCAAGGGCGACCACTGACAAGATTAGAAAATATGCACCGATATTTTCACATGCAGAGACCACATCACTACTGTGAACAAAAGATTCTTTGATTACTTTTCCTTCAGGGTGAACACTCACATCCATGTAGCGGCCCATTTCAGACATCTGGACATTTTTTTTCTTTGAAGAAAACGTTGACTAGCACAAAAAGATGAATGTGTAAAATACCACAGTAAAACTCAGCAATTAGCTTTTTATTTATTCAGGATAACACTTAAAGCCAATAGGCAACATTCTTTATGATGAAAACTTACTTTTGTTTGTGGTGATGAATTAAGTTTTTGTTTTTTGTGGTTCTTCATTACAACATTCTCCTCAGTGGAGAGGCCTGAGCCACCTAAAAGACTCTCTGTGTCTGGAGACAAGCGTATAAGCTGCTGCCTGGTTCCTCTCTTACACCAGTGGAGGATTAGAGTCTGACAATGTTGGGTAAAAGGTCAACAGATCACATCCATTGGAAAATCCATACAATTCACGTACATTTCACCATTTCAAGATGCCATTTAAATCAAGCCCAGATTTCCGTGGGAATCTATTGCTGCTTTCAGACGTGCACTGAACTCCAGAGATCCTCCGGACATTCTCTGTATGTGAGAATGCAAATGGCCGACTGAGAGTCTCTGGAATTTCTGCAGAGTTTCTCCAGTCAGCTCTCTAGTAAAAACTCACTGACTTCACGGCGAGCAAGTGGTTGTGTGATGATGTTTCTAACATGTGAGGGATGCAAGAATGAAAAAAAGAGTACAAATATCTTAGGGGGAAAAAAGCAGTGCCACACACGTAGGAGACATCGACTTAGATGTCAAGCGGGCTTTTGTTGATGAGGGTCGCAGTCAGTGTGAATGTGCTTTAAACAAAAACCCGTGATTTCGCTGCAGAGTTCATTCGTTACGTCCTCTGCCTGCAGCACCACCCCGCTCCAGAGAGTGTTTTTCTGTGCGTTTCTGAGTGAGACAGCTCCTGCTGTGTTGTTCATGAGTCAATCAATCAGTCGATCAATCAAACTCCGGTAATAGTGTGGACCCAATAAGCGCACATCCTCTGGACTTCATGTCTGAAATCTACTTCTGATTTATTTTCATTTCATCTATTGCTGCAGCTCCTGTAATTCGATAAACAAGCAACCAGAGGGTGAAAGAAAAAATGTAAGACCTTTAATTTTCTGAATCAATATTGTGCCATAAATGCCCCCAAGAGGAAACTGCAGTTCTGGCTAATGCATTGGGTTCTGGGAGCTGAAACCCTGCACATGAAAGACTCAGTAAGAGACAAACACCGTTAAACATGGATACGAGAAGATCCAGAGTGACTCCGCATATTGCTGTCAGCAGCCATGGCATGACTCTCAGGAGAAACTCAATCTGAGTGTCGTAGAGGAGCATGGCAGCAGCGTAGAGGCCCCCAGCCAGGGAGCACAGCAGTCCTGAGAACACGTGGGCCTGGGTCAACATCTGTCCTCTGTGCTACAGGGGGAAAGTAATGACAAACCCTTAATGGTGGGCAGAATTTTGGGAAAGCAAGAGATGTGTGACTCTGATATTAAAACACTTGGGGGCTGTTTTTCACTTACGACTCTGCAGACGTGCGGGAGCCTGGAGGTACAGACGATGACAAAAGAGATCAAGCCAAGTATGTAACCCAGGATTTCAGTGTTGTCCTTCGAGGATAACCATTTGAAAATGTGTTAAAACATTATTTATAAAAATGTATATCAGAAAAAAACATTTAGTAAACTGAAAGAGATAAATATATATAAACGTGTCTGTGTGACCACACTATGACTTGGTGAGTGGTTACTTGGAGGTGGATGTGCAACAGTCTCCTCCTGCTGAGAAGCCTGTCTGCTGGTTTGACCGGAGACTTCATAAAACCTCCGGCAACCACCATCAGTATGCACACTCCGAGGAGGTGCTGTCTCCTCCGCCTCCTCATGACCCTCAGCCTCCTCTCTGATGGAGGACACAGAGAAGAGAAGAGAAACAGTAGTGAACAGTCGTCCTGTTTGGTTATCTGTCACATTCTCTGATAAGCCTCCTTGCTGTTCATTTGCCTAAAGGAACTCTGCCAGCTGGGTGCTGGCATTAAAACACCTGAGCTGCCTGCACTTTGTCTGAACGCTGCCAGAAGGTCTGAATTATTATGATGATTTAATCCTAAACTTACCTGTCTTTGTGTTCAAGCCCAGCAACACTGGGAAGCAGGAAAACATCACATTGACGGCATCCACAGCAGCTGCAAAGGCACCCATTAAAACCTACAGGGGGTAGAGCAGTAAATAAAGTAAATAAAGAATGCTAAAGTACGATTCATTTGTGCTCCCTCTCTCACCCTGCAGGTATCTGACTCCAGAGCTGCAGGATCCAGATCTGACAATACTCAACAACAACTGCTATTATTATCACTATTATTATTCCTACAATAATAATAACAACAATAAGTTTGATTATTATTTAAACTGCATGAACATAATTACATTTCTAAATATCCCTCTAATTATTTTCTTCTCTCTTTTCCACCCACCTCTGCTCTCCCCCATTTTTCTTTCTCCTCAGCCTGAAGTGCAACTCTTGGGTTTCTCTCTAATCTTTAAGGTCTCAAACTTATGTTGGGATTTGTCGCCATACAAATAAATGCCTTTTAAAACTCACCTGAATATAAAGCTGTCTGGACAGACTGGCTCCCACAGTGCTGCACAGGTTACCCAGGAAGCAGTAGAGGAGAATGATGGTTTCTTCTGCAGGATTTTCATCAGGACACCTGCACCTCTGGTACATCAACCTTAAACAATTCAACACGGGTGTAATGCAGAACTGCTTCAGTGAGAAAACACAGCAAATTCTGCAAGGACAACTACTCACAGCAGACATGACAGAAGTAAAGTGAGGGCAGACAAAGAGCTGAGACCGATCAGGACGCAGGGTTTGTCTGACTCACGTGAGAAACAGGTGGAGAGAGAATCCTCGCAAAAAGCAAACAGATGAGAGAAGAAAGAGTTTGATCCTGGTCCAGTGTGAACATCCATGATCAGTGCGGGTCCTGAGTGATCCCAAATACATCCAGTGTCTCACAAGGAAGACTCACACACACCTGCTGAGTGAGGGTGCTGAGGGGCTGCAGCACCACCTACAGGCGAGGCGCAGCAAGTGCAAGACAATAAAAACTTCTAAAATCAATTAAAGAAATGATATTAATGACACTTTTCATTTATTTTTGTGCAGTAACATTCTCAGAGTAATAAAAACACATTTTTATTTGTCATAATATTTAATTTAATTTTCGAACATATCGCCCACGTCTCTATAACTCCCTCTTGTGGTCAAACTACGAAAATGCAAGTTCAAAGAAACTTCAAGTTGCTTACGATGATGAGAATATTACTGAAGAGACCGAGATGATCTGACTCTTTCCTATCTGACCCATAGAAATGTAATTCATTTGAATATTCAATGACAAAAATGAAATCGTCTTGGTTTTGTCAAACACTGGGTGTAGCACCTACCCAACCAACACTACTGTAAACACACTGGAGTCTCTGAGGCCCTAGAGCAAAGTTTACTAGTGTAACAAGTAGTTAAAAATACAGACGAGTAGCATGTTTCTAAGTATTGCTGTCAAGAGACGTGTTTTATTTTCTTCAGTTGTTTTTTGTATATGTAAGGCAGCCAAAGTGTTGCGCCACTAGGTGGAGCTGCAGCCCTGTTTTGTTAAGTGTTTGATTTAAGTGTTTGATTATTTTAATGTAGATTGTCCCTTATGACACACCGTAGAGTTGACTAATCGTAAGGCACCGTTTCGTCTTCAGATTGAGCTGTTAACTCTACAGGTAAGTCACGCGGCTGTCACTATATACGAGTATGAAAAACTGCTAAAACTAAAAACACTTTAAAACGATGTATATGTTTTAAACTGTGAATAATTTCGTCGACATGCACTTTTTGTTTCTGGTTAAAAACGATGTGTAGTGTGACGCAGTAACAATTACTAGCTGCTAAGTGTTAGCTTTGGCTACAGTGAATGTGCTAGCTTAAAAATGTTCCGAGTACATGAGAGTGATAGAGATTGCACTGTTAACGCTTATAGATGCCGAATGCGCCATTAATTAAACCTGTCGCCACCGTTCCTGAAGTACCACGTGTCTGTTCCGAGACTGAATAGAATCAGAAAGGTCACGTGAATATAAAGCTGTTTGAATAGATCCCACGGTGCTGTTAACCAGAAAACTGTGGAGGAAAGTGATTTGGTGTCTGTATGATTTTCTTCACATGTTACAGCAGACATGACAGCAGACATGACAGCAGACATGACAGCAGACAAAAGTGACCGTCCAACATCAGCTTGATAATAATGAAGGTGAGAGGACATTGGTTTTATCCAGGGACCACTGTGTTTATATGTAATGGCTGAAGAGTCATTATTAAAGGGGATGGAACCGATGTCAAATTCAACATGTTTCAACACGACCCTGGAAACTCACCTCTAGTTTAGTAACAAGCACAAAACCACTCCCCGCCGGGGAATCGAGCCCCGGTCTTCCTCGACCGGAAACCCTGCTCCTTAACTTTTCTCATTCATTCTCTATGGTAGTTTCTTAACAGTACGGATGTAATATATTTTTGTCCACTGAGTGTAATTTGGGGGCGCTGTTTCCCCGTTTTCGAAGAAGACAATGGACAATGACACCTCTGAATTTAAAGGAGAGCATCAGCGGCCCCAGTGAAGTACAGTAAAAAGTATTTAGTGTAGTAGTAGTAGTTTTTATCTTCAAGTTTGTAAAAGTTTTTTTAAGTAGTTTTCTGAGTTGTGGTAGAAGAAGTAGTTTCTTTCTTTTGTTTAGATACTGTCCACTATACTAATGAGGACTGCTGTAATACCGCAGTCAACCATGTTACGCGAAGGTGGCGCTGTTCTGACTTGTCCATTGTTTTCCTCCTGTTCGGGGTGGAACGATGAATCATGCCTGTGATTTTGCAGATGGCGACTTTGTGAAAAACTGGTGATGACAAGTTTTTACATCATGTGTCAGGTCCTCATGCTCAGACGGAGGACCACACTCGTCACCACACACGAGCTCAGGTCATGTCAAGCTCATGGGTTTGAAAAGAGTCGTCACACCTCCAAGATGGACGCAGCATTACAGACCGGAACCACAGACAGACTGGACCTGGAGAGAAGGTTCCCTCAGTGCTCTGCTTCCTTCAGACTGACAGTGACTCACTGACCCTGCTGAGAGGAAGCGGTCTGTTTCCAGAGGTGGGTAGTAACGTGTTACATTAACTCAGTTATAAGTACTTATGGTATTTATTTGAACAAATTGTTGTTATGCAGTATTTATACCACCAAAAAGCAAAGTAAATATGACAAACAGGAACAGCAGGAATTAGAGAGCTAGTGGTCCTCTGTGTTTTCACCAATCCTCGTTAGTATAGTGGACAGTATCTCCGCCTGTCACGCGGAGGCCAGTCGCGTATAGCCGTAGAGGACTGACAGCCAATCAGATTGCAGCATGCTGTGTCCCGTCTCTCTGGTGCTGCTGAACGCGCTGCAGAAGCCTTGTAAGACAGGGGAGTGGGTTTGATTCCCACTAGAAGCAAATATAGTTTATGTTTTCTTGATTTGATCAAATGTTTTGAACTTT